TGACAAAAAGGAGTGTCTGGACCATATTTCCTGATTTTAACATTTGCTTTTTAAAATAGTAATTTACCTTTCTCTCTATCTCTCTCTCTCTGGTCATTTATGGTCTTTAAGTTATTGCATCATTAACAGAGTTGCTGTGCTCGACGTTTTATGTGTGAGAGAGACTTGTGGGTCAGAGTGACATTGAAATGAAGGATACATTTCCTCCACTCATACAATACATGAGAGTATATGCAAACATTGTTAACCCACTTAAGACATTATTGCAAAATTAAGTTCATGTGTGGTGATACCCCATTTCTAACATGAGACCAGCTCTGTGTCCATCTGTGACTATTGTACTGATATGTGCAAAGCAAGCATGCAGATTGTAATCTGTGACTGTACATACGGCTCTGGGAATGTGGGATCTGTTTCTCGTTGACAGTTGTCAGAGTGATAATCTGTGCTCTGATTTCGAAGAGCAATGAAGCACTTGTCTCCTGTATGTCCTCCACACAAAAATCAATAATGCAGTTATACAGCAGCCTGTTTATTTAGTCAATAACCTTCATATGTTTTTAGAAAACACCACTTGTCAGCTTTTTAAGCTATAAATACATACTCATTTTTCTCTGTCTGTTGTAAATGGGATATGAAAGTGAAAGATGTTAATTATGGTGGTGTGCAGTATGTTGACAAATCAGTTATGCAATTGTGTTTAGCTAGGATTAAATAAATGCATTGATGCATCTCAGGAAAATAATCAAAATATCTTTTGCACTTATTATTGGCAGACAATTTTAAGTCTTAGAAACATTTTCAAAAGTTGCTTTAAAAGAGAGTCATTTCAGCTATACTGTAACAAAAATATCTTATGTGTTATATTTGCCTGTGATTTAGTTAATTGTTGTTCTTGTCATTATACGACTGCTCGTTCTTGTTGGGAAAATATTGTTTCCAGCAGTAAGTACTGTTGATCCCCTGCAGTGGTGCCAGTCCTTGTATAAAGTATTACATCGATTAATCACCACGCTTTGAAATCAGTACATCACTTCTATTCTCATTCATTCTGAGTGATATATTAAGAAGCTCTCACAAATCTCCATTCCAGAGAAAAGCAGCACCACTTTTCTTCTCACCATATGTGCTGTTGCAGCAGATGTAAAAACTGAGCATCTACAGAACCTTCTAACAGAGCTTGGTGTGAAACCTTATAGTTTTTTATTTCAAAAGTACTTTTATATTAAGCACATTAGTTGGGCCTAACCCTTGATTTCTGTCCTAACAGGACCTGATCTGTAAATAATACTGTTTGGTAACTGAAAGTAGACGTGACAGTGATTATTCAGAGTCCTTAAAGGGATAGTTCACCCAAAAATGAAAATTTGATGTTTATCTGCTTACGCCCTGGGCATCCAAGATGTAGGTGACTTTGTTTCTTCAGTAGAACACAAACTGAGATTTTTAACTCCAACCGTTGCAGTCTGTCAGCCGTATAATGCACGGCAATGGTAACAAAATCTACGAGAGTAAAAAAAACATGCACAGACAAATCCAAATTAAACCCTGCGGCTCGTGACGACACATTGATGTCCTAAAACACGAAACGATCGGTTTGTGCCAGAAACTGAACAGTATATATATACATTTTTACCTCTAATGCACCACTATGTCCAACTTCCTTGAGCGTGCACGGCTTCCGGTGCGTGAGGTGTGTACGCGCTCTGGCGTAGTTTACGTTAATGAGTGTGTTGATATCCAGCCGAAGAGCAATCAACCATAACTTCAGGCGAGCAGGCTCAGAAGTTGGGAATACGTGTAAAGTCACCACTCCCGAATGAGTTCGCGCGCGAGAAAGTAATCTTTTAGTTTTAAGTCGGTTTGAACAATCCAGATAAGCGCAAGTAAGTACCATTTTGATTAGCCATCGTACTTACAATGACTGTGCACTGTGTAAACAATGAGTGCCGTAAACACGCGAGAGTTCACTTCCGGCGCTTGCGTAAACTACGCCAGAGCGCGTACACACCGGATGCTGTGCGCGCGCTCAAGGCAGTTGGAAAAGGCAGTTATCACATTTTTTTATTTCTTGATATATTATTCATTTTGACACCAAAAATTCACTTATTGCTTCTTATTGGCTTATAGTATTATACTTTTATTATACGTATTTATTTTTATACATTGCTCCTACTGTACGCCATTATATTGTCTCAGTCATTGTCTGTTACCTCCTAATAACTCTTTTATTCATTTAACACTATTTTTTTGTCATTTTTATGCTCATTTCCAGCAGGGAGGCATAATCTGTAGATTTCTAAGTTGTTGAAGTTGTTGTCGAGGTGATATACATTAGTTTTATATGTTTGATAGACTCTGGCTGGAGAAGATTAAACACTGCCATCTGCTCATTGCAGTGCTACATAATCTATATCTGCATCATCATGTTTCATCTGCAGCACGTCCACCTGATCTGGCTGTTCATGTGCTGATGTTTTCTGCCTTCTGCAGCTTTTATCCCTCAAATAGATGAAAGCTGGTGAGATTGCATCCATAGATCCTATATAAATAATTGTAAATAATCATACAAGATGATGCACACTTCATGTGCTTTCTAAAAGGGTTTGGCAATTAGGAAATTCTCCTTTGACATGCACTTTGTATGGAATTTGTTATATATTGGAGTGACATTCGAGCATTTTCTATAGTGAAATTATAATCTATATTATATAGAAGTGTGACAGTAAAGACCTACACTTATACAAAATATTTTTTGTCAGGAATTCCTGTTGAACTTGAGTATCCTGAAAAAAAAATTGCAATAATAATTTAACAATATTTCTTGAGTTCCAAATCAGCATATTACAATGCTTTCTGAAGGATCATGTGACACTGAAGACTGGAGTAATCAAAGATAGTTTTTCTTTTTTTGTCTGTAATCAATGAAGGTAGAGCCTCCACTGACATGATCAATACAGGTCTAGGAATAGCTCTGAGTTTTGCGGATGTCCTCTGTGTCTTTGATTTCCTAAATCAAATTCTGGATAGTTATCACTACTCACAGTCGTGGAAGTCAATATTAGAGGTGATTTTGTCTTGTGTGTTCCATTTCAACTTTGACAAACTGAATTCATCTATCTTTGGTGAATGCAATTTCGTGCTGTTTATTTGGATTTCGAGAGGATTTTGCATCGACTGCATATGAATATGCATCGACTGCGTCATATGCATCGAATATGCATCGACTGCATCATAACTGGGATTGTTGGTTCTCAACTTGAATACAAACCTCACTAGTCTTCACAGCAAGGAAATTTACATTACATTACATTACAGGTAACTTACAGGTGTTCATTACAGGTAACTTATTCTGGCGAAGCAGTGACCTCTTTGGCAAAATATGGTCAACCACATTTTTGAAACCCATTAAATAGTCATAATTTTACAGTAAAATGTGTCTTAATATTAGGGATGGCTCAATACCACTTTTTCAGAACCGATACCGATCCGATACCAAAAATTCGGAGTATCTGACGATACCGATATCGATCCGATACCAGCGCAGTTTTTTAAAATGAGTGTAGAATTTCTATACCTCAGTGTAGGTCGATCATCACTCTTTTGTATGTTACACACAATCTACTAAATATAGACAGCTTCATTATAAAGAAAAAATAAATAAATCTATGACAAAAATACTATTACAAACTAGGTTAACAGATAATTCAGTAGCAAAAGTTACTCTAGAAAAATCATGAGTGCACAATAATTTTATAAAATCCTAAACTTTTAGTGAAAAAAAAATACATTATTTAGTGGGTAACAAATAAATGTGAAGTGTAGGGCTAAATCTGTTAGGCCTACACATTGCTCTTTGTATTGGTGTAAAATACATTCATGAAAAACAAGTAACATATTTATATATAAATATATACTATAATAGTCAACATTTGAAGTGGATCAAAACCTTTCATCAAAGTGAAAGGTTCACTTTCAACATTTTTAACATTGTATGCTCTATGTGCATAGGTAGCTAGCAAACAAGGAATACAGCTGTTAAGCTAATAGTCACATTTAGCTGGGTAAGATCATGATTGAGAAATGTTGGATACTGCTGGAAATGCTGCTATGGGGTATCCTATTTATTATTTTAGGATTTTTTTTGTTTGTCCCAGTGAAGCATTTCTATTAATATAACTAAGTAGTCAAACTCATGTATTGGGACACCCCCTTCTTTAGAACAGAAAAAGGCACTTCCAAAACTGTGGCATTAAAGATGGAAACATAATTCATGTATTTAAAAATTGTATTTCCATCTTTGTTGCCACAGTTGGTAAATGTGGTCAAAAGTCATTGGTGTTTGGCGATGTGTTTTTTTGAGTTTTATTGAGTTTTCCCAATACTTTGGGCAATATACTGTATGTTTGGTGTGGTAGGGGGCCCAACCTCATATTCTTTCATAGGGCCCAAAATTGCTAGCGGCGCCCCTGCCCTGATCCAACAGAAAATGCCAGTATCGGATCGATACTGATACTGAATATCGGATCGGCGCACCCCTACTTAATATTTATTGATAAACAAAGAGAAATTGGACATTTCCATGCACATTTAGTTCATGTTAAAATGTGATTGTCCACTTTTAGGTGAGATAAGTTGCTTAACAAATGCCATAGATAAGAAGTGGCTGCACTGATGAAAAGTTTGGAAACAACTAATATAGTGCCAACTATCTCAACATGTACACCTAATTAACTGTCTTTAGATTTATGTTCAGTATAAGAATGTGTTATTGGCTGATAACGTTTCCATCTGTTTCCTCACTTCTTGAGATTAACTTGAATCATTAGCCCTGCAGACAGCAGTCAGGACCTGAGTCTTTGAGTGATGTAACGCTCCACCAGATCTACACTTTCATTAGCGAGATCTCTATTTGGTTAGCTGTGTGGACTCTTCTTTAGTCTTCTTTCTTTCATCTCTAAAATGATTAATAGCCAGCTGAACAGAAATACACATGCATAATGAAAAGTGCTGAACAGCACTGTGAGGTCTAACTCATTAAAGCACTCGGGACAGGCTGAGCCGCAGCAGTTCTAATGAGAGGAAGAGGAAACCCATTCTGATCTTTGTGTGTGGTCTGATGGACAAACAGATGTTATGTTTAATAATATGCTTCTATATTTGAAACAAGGAGAGAGAAGAGATGGAAATTTCTCTTGTTGTCACCTGACTGACTCTCTGAGGCTTTGAATCATGTCTGTGCTATGTCATACACTACTGTTCAAACGTTTAGGGTATGTACAAATTTTTTAATGTTTTGAAAGCTCTCTTATGCTCACCAAAGCTGCATTTTTTTTTTAATCAGAAATACAGTAAAGACAATCATTTTGTGAAATATTATTGCATTTTAAAATACCTGTTTTATTTCCCACTTGGTTTAATATTGTATCTAATGTAATGACATTCAGACACTTTTGTTACTTAAAGTCCGTGTAAAGAGAATTCAGAGAATTGTTTCTAAAAGCATTATAAATTTTAGAAATGTATTGCAGAAACACATTACAAAGACTCTGAACTATGTAGTACTGAATTGTGGAGTTAAACCGTTAAACAGTTTTTCACCAATTCTGTGTTCAGGATTTTTTGGGCGGGGCTATAACGGTGGCTCGATGACGCAATAAAATCAGAAATACAGTAAAGACAATCATTTTGTGAAATATTATTGCATTTTAAAATACCTGTTTTATTTCCCACTTGGTTTAATATTGTATCTAATGTAATGACATTCAGACACTTTTGTTACTTAAAGTCCGTGTAAAGAGAATTCAGAGAATTGTTTCTAAAAGCATTATCAATTTTAGAAATGTATTGCAGAAACACATTACAAAGACTCTGAACTATGTAGTACTGAATTGTGGAGTTAAACCGTTAAACAGTTTTTCACCAATTCTGTGTTCAGGATTTTTTGGGCGGGGCTATAACGGTGGCTCGATGACGCAATGGAGCCGCCGAGCATGGCCACGCCCCTAACACTATAAGATGTGTGTTCGACTTGAAGCAGCACTGCGCAGATCGATCGGTGTGTGACATCAAAGTACAGAGCTATAGAGAGCAGACGGCTCCTCATGCTTTCGAATCGCTCTCATGTCATACACTGACATACATGTCATGCCGTTCGTTACTACAGCCTAGAGGTTGTAAATGCATAATACCTGGTTGCAATAATTTACAAAACAGCTCGGTCTCCTCATTTAAATAAGCTGCAGAGGAAGACAGTTGAGAGAGAGACGACAGTTTTTCCGCGAGTCGGCGTGGTTTCAGCGCCGCCAGCGGACACACCCCCAGCGTCTGAGTGCAGAGAATACTGCTTGTTTTTTCAAGATTTTGATAGCTTATTTTATTCACTTGGCGTTTTTTTTTAGCATTCAGATTTGGCTGGGTGGTTATTAATAACACATTTTTCTGTGGTGTGATAAACTCAGAACACACATTTAATATAGACTTTACACAGACTTTTAAGTGTCCAAATAGTTTTTGAGCTGCTGTGTTTGTGTATAAGAATAGTTTCACAAAACCAAAGTGAAACTCTATCTAGATTCTGGACATGTTGAAATATTATTGGGAATCTCACTGAATTTCACTAAAACTTTCAGTTTTACACACTAAATCACATGGCTCTCCCTCCCCCTCAACTATTTTAAATGGCATTTCTCGGATATGTGGATGTATAACACACATGCGTCTCTTTCCTCTAAGCTCTTTCTTAAGTCACGAGCATTCTGGAGCTCAGGGTCTCACTCAGCAAAAAAAAGTGGAAGTTTGCATATGTTAAAGGTGAGGAGCTACACCTGGAGGAGACCATTGAGCAACTAGCCAAGCAGCACAACAGCCTGGAACGAGCCTGGAGAGAGGCCCCCACGCACGCTGTCAACACGCCCGCTACGCCCACCACTGACACGGGTGAGACACGCCACCCCTACCGCAGCGTGATCATTCATAAATGAATACTATAGAAGTGAATGAGCTCAGTTATGAGACATGGCATGATGGCAAACCAGCATGACTGCTGTAATGGTACTGTTGTGCCTGTTTTTGACTACTTGTGCGTGCACAGGAGTGAGTGAAAGGCCCAGGAAAGAGGAAGCGAGTGATGAAGATGAGGATACAGAGTATTTTGATGCCATGGAAGACTCACCTGCTTTTATAACAGTGACTGCCACGGACCCCTCTCACCACAGGTTAGCTTCATCCCCACTTAACCCAAAAATGAAAGTCATACATTTTTCAACAACATTAGGGTAAATAAATGATGACAGAATTTTCCTTTTTTGAGGAGAGTTCGAAAAATAGTCGTTCAAAGATTAAATGCAGACATTTTATTAATAATGAATTCAAAACACATTTCTTAAGTCAATTTCTACTACCTACTGATAAACCGTACACCAAAAGTCATTCATTTCCAATGGAGAGTAGTATGGGAGCTGCATGGAGTTTCGACCACATGAATATGCATAATTTTTGGGTCTGATTTATGCTTCAATTGCATTTACATATTTGAACTCAACCATATGTGACCACCTGACCGAATGAGATGTATTCCAATCAAAATTATGAGCATGAATGGAAAATGACCAATTCTTTTAATACAATTGTTTTGGTAAAATAAGTGGTCATGAATAACTATGTCTGAAATAACTATTTTATAAACACTTGTGATTTATTTATTTATTTTTTTAATCTGGTCCTAGTAAGAGGCTCTTGTTCACTGGTTGACTCCTGAAACCTTTATTCCATCAGTCAAACACAATGTCACCTTTATTCTGCTTATTTGCCTGCATCTCATCTTCTTACTGTCTCTCTCTCTTTCTTGTGTGTGCAGACGTTCTCAGAGTAATCTCAGTGGTGCTAGTGGAGGACAGCCCAGTGACTGGAACCAGGAAGACAATGTGAGTGTGACATGAAACAAGAGCTGAAAACAAAGGTTATATACACTAGGATCCAAAAAACAACAATGCAAATCTCAGATTTAAAATCTAATTTAAAAGGGGGACAAACAAAATGCTAAGGCATTCTGAAATACTAAAAATCATTTGTTACAAGAGCCTGAAATTCGCTTCATATTTGTAATGAAACGTTTTTTATTTATTATTGTACTAATGTGAAGTGGAAGCATTTTCATTAGTGGCCTCAGACTTTTGGACCCCACTGTATTTCTTGTGGCATAAAGATCCAGTAGACTCGGCGTGACTGTGAATGTTTCCTCAGGCGGTCTGTGTTCATCATTGACTCTCACAGCTGTTGTTCATCTCAATTAACCAAATCTTAATTAACTGATATCTGCTCTCCTCGTTTCATCTTTCTCTCGGTGACTCACTTTCTGAGACAGATGGAGCATCAGTCAGCTGTCAGTGTTTATGCATTACGTTCCTCAAGGGCACTCAGGCCCTTTAAATAATGTCTTTCAGCACAAATACATTTCATACATTTCTGATGTTTTTTTTAATACAAACACTCTTGTCTGTGTCTTTTTTAGTGTTCTGTGAGCAGTAATGATTTTTCAGGGAAAGAACTGCAGCCTCACAGGAAGAGGCGGACCCAGATCCCAGAGAAGCCCAACTATTCGCTCAATCTGTGGAGCATCATGAAGAATTGCATTGGCAAAGAACTCTCTAAGATCCCAATGCCTGTAAGTGATATCACATATTGGGGAAATGGTCCTAAATGAAAGAATAGAATCAGTGCATTGCTGTTCTTTGAGAACAGTAAGCAAAATGTGCCCAGATTATATATCATTTGCATGTACACTACTGTTCAAAAGTGTGGGATTATTAAGGTCTTTCTTATGCTCATCAAGGCTGCATTTCTTTGATCAAAAATTGAAAGAAAAACAAACAGTAAAAACTGTTTTTCAGTATTCTTTGATTAGTTAAAAGTTAGAAGTATAGCATTTGTAACAAATACCTTTTTTTTATCAATTTAACATATCCTTGCTGAACCAAAGTATTAATTTCTTGAAAGAATAAATTCTGTTCTTGTTTATTCATCAAAGAATCCTGAAAAAAGTATTATAGGTTCCAAAAAATATTAAGTATTAAGTAAATATTAAATATTACTGTTTCCAACAGTGATAATAAATCAGCATATTAGAAGGATTTCTGAAGGATCATGTAACACTGAAAACTGAAATAACGATGCTGAAAAATCTTTGCATTGCATGAATAAATGACATTTTAAAATGCATTCAAATAGAAAACCATTATATTAAACGGCACTAATACTTCACAATATTATTGTTTTTACTGAATTTTTGATCAAATAAATGCAGCAAAATCTTACTGATCCTAAACTTGAGAATGGTAGTGTATGTGCTTCTGAAATGGAGAAAAAAACGTCTCAGGTTACTTATGTAACCATGGTTCCCTGAGTAGGGAACGAGACACTGCGTCCTCTAGGGGTCGCTATGGGGAACGCCTCGTCGTGACCCGTGTCTGAAGCATACATTGAAAAAACACCAACTCGTTGGCCGGCGACAGCCATGACGTCACTACCGGTGCGACTCCAGTATAAATCGGCGCCGGGAGCTACACATCATTCTCTTCTTCGTCTTCATTGACTGTTCTGTTTGAAGCGTGCATTTTCAAGGAAAAAGTAAGAGCTATCTATTTATTATGGCGAGCACTAGTAGAGCATTTAGAAGGTGTGTGCATCCGTGTCAGCGCTAGTTGACACCAGATGACACACACGATTTATGTGTTGTTTGTTTGGGCGAGGAGCACGCACGCGATGTCCTCGAGGGGGCAATCTGCGTGCATTGCGAGTTTTTTCCAATGAAAAAACTCCGTTCTCGTTTGTCTCTCTTTTCAAGTAAAGAGGGGCAGCCATCTGCTTCCCGCGGTTCAGGACCCTCCGCTGCTGAGGCACGGAGGAGAATGAGCTCGTGGCGATCTCAGGTGGACCTGGCCGATGAGTTTAGAGAGGGGCTTTCCTTCTCGCGCTCATCGGCGGGGGGCGAGAGACAGCCACTGGAGGATGATGTTCTCTCTTTAACATCATCTGATCCAGGGGCCAGTGCTCTGCTGGGTTCAGCCCAGGAAGAGCAGGAAATGGATGATGAGAGCGAAGAAGCTGAGGCTGAGCCTTCTCAATCCTCCTGCCCTGCGTATGATGAGCTCTTAGAGGTTATGGATCGCGCCACGGCAAGACTTGACTTGCCATGGAAGCGGACTAAGGAAGTGGCGTCGCGAGGTCGTCTCGACGAACGTTATCTTTCTGGCCATAACCCTCCAGCTCAGGTGAGTCTTCCTTTCCTTCCTGATCTCCATACTGAGATCGAGAAGGAATGGAAGAAGCCGTTTTCCTCACGCATCCATCGGTTTCAGCATACCAGTTATGCGAATATCGAGGCGGTGCGCGAAAACGGCTATGAGAGAATGCCCCCTGTAGAAGAGACGCTAGCTAGCTATCTCTCTATGGGAGAGACATCATCTCTCAAAACTCCCTCCTTGCCATCCATGCCTCTTCAAGCTACATCTAAAATGAATGGCAAGGCATACGCAGCAGCAGGTCAGGCTGTTGCTTCACTGCACACGATGGCGGTGCTCCAAGCATACCAGGCTGATCTGCTGAAAGACCTGGATAAAGGCGAGGGCCTTTCTTCTGATGAGATGGCTGAGTTACGCCGCACCACGGATCTTGCTCTTCGTGCTACTAAGCAGGCTGCCTCTGCCATGGGCAGATCTATGGCAGCGATGGTAGTAACGGAGAGGCAGCTGTGGGTAAACCTGGCAGACATCGGGAAGAAAGAAAGGGGTTTTCTTCTCGATGCCCCGGTTTCGCCCTCTGAACTTTTTGGTACATCCGTTGAGACGGTCATCGAAAAGTTCAGGGAGGCGAAGGCACGCTCAGCGGCCTTCAAAACCTTCATTCCACGAAGGTCCAGGTCTGAGCCCGAACAACCCAGGGGTCCTGGCCCGTCTCGATTTGAGGATCAGAGACGAGCACAGAAGGCTAGTGTCGCGACTCGCGCTCCTCCTCCGCCTGCGGGTAGGGGTAGGAAGTATCGTGGGTCGAAGGGAGGTAGGCAAGACCTGAGGGATGTGATCCAGACAAGGCGTCAGAGCTTTCGTCCGGATCAGAGTAATACTTAGGTATCCACTCTTTCCCTCAGGGGGTGTAACATCTACCCCTTTCTTCCCCTTCCTAATTCCCCTGTAACCACCATATCGCCACCTGACCGAGGTCAGGTGGAAGCTTCCTGCATAACAGTCTCCTTCTGGACCTATGATGTTTTGGTTGGTTCTATGGTTATCATAGTAACCACCTTACTGAAGGTCCGGTCTAGAGGCTTTCCGGACAGAGCTCCAACGCGGGAGCCGTGGTGGGTGAGTACGATCCATGTCTAAATATATGTATATAAATATATGTATGTGCTATGAAACTGGTGGTTGTGTGTACCCTTCTGCTAGTTTCTTTGCAGTGTTTCCCGTGCTGGGGTCAGAAACCGGGTGCTCGACTTGCAGTGTTTATTTCACTCGTCGAGATATGTCCAGAAGGTAAGTAAGGTTTCATACTTCCTGGATCATGCGGCTATAACACAGGCTTCTGCGGGAGTTTTGTGATTATCAGGCCCCCGGTGTCACTGCAGAAAATTTCCTGGACGTCCGGGCTGGGGTTTACGCTTTCTCTCAGAGTAATCTCAGTGGTGCTAGTGGAGGACAGCCCAGTGACTGGAACCAGGAAGACAATGTGAGTGTGACATGAAACAAGAGCTGAAAACAAAGGTTATATACACTAGGATCCAAAAAACAACAATGCAAATCTCAGATTTAAAATCTAATTTAAAAGGGGGACAAACAAAATGCTAAGGCATTCTGAAATACTAAAAATCATTTGTTACAAGAGCCTGAAATTCGCTTCATATTTGTAATGAAACGTTTTTTATTTATTATTGTACTAATGTGAAGTGGAAGCATTTTCATTAGTGGCCTCAGACTTTTGGACCCCACTGTATTTCTAAAGATCCAGTAGACTCGGCGTGACTGTGAATGTTTCCTCAAGTGGTCTGTGTTCATCATTGACTCTCACAGCTGTTGTTCATCTCAATTAACCAAATCTTAATTAACTGATATCTGCTCTCCTCGTTTCATCTTTCTCTCGGTGACTCACTTTCTGAGACAGATGGAGCATCAGTCAGCTGTCAGTGTTTATGCATTACGTTCCTCAAGGGCACTCAGGCCCTTTAAATAATGTCTTTCAGCACAAATACATTTCATACATTTCTGATGTTTTTTTTAATACAAACACTCTTGTCTGTGTCTTTTTTAGTGTTCTGTGAGCAGTAATGATTTTTCAGGGAAAGAACTGCAGCCTCACAGGAAGAGGCGGACCCAGATCCCAGAGAAGCCCAACTATTCGCTCAATCTGTGGAGCATCATGAAGAATTGCATTGGCAAAGAACTCTCTAAGATCCCAATGCCTGTAAGTGATATCACATATTGGGGAAATGGTCCTAAATGAAAGAATAGAATCAGTGCATTGCTGTTCTTTGAGAACAGTAAGCAAAATGTGCCCAGATTATATATCATTTGCATGTACACTACTGTTCAAAAGTGTGGGGTCAGTGAGTTATTAAAAAAAAGAAATTAATATTTTTATTCATGCATTAAAAAATGACAGTAAAGACATTTATAAATTCGTAAAAGATTTCCATTTGAACAGATTTGAACGAATAGATTACCATTCTCACAAAAATATTAAGCAGCACCACTTTGTTTGAAAAAGTTTGAAAAAAGGCAAAGAATACAAAGCTAAAGCGGCCACAATGTATTTTAAAGTAACAAATTTAGCTGGATGCTAACCTTTTTAATTCCAAAACAAACTTGGAGAATGGATCTGTGGTCACAAGACAATTGCAGTATCTCCACATACTCAACAATATGTAGTAAGAATGTGAATTGGGACACAGGTGTCTTCTTCTCTCCTTGTGTCCAGGTGAACTTCAACGAGCCCCTGTCCATGCTGCAGCGCTTGACTGAGGATTTGGAGTACCACGAGCTGCTGGATAAGGCGGCGCGCTGTGAGAACTCTCTGGAGCAGATGTGTCTGGTCGCAGCCTTCTCCGTCTCCTCATACTCCACCACAGTGCACCGGACGGCCAAGCCCTTCAACCCTCTCCTGGGAGAGACATATGAACTGGACCGCCTGGAAGAATTCGGCTATCGTTCCATCTGTGAACAGGTCAGTGTTAAGAGTCCAAAGGTCTACGGTAACATGTGAGGAAAGCTATCCGTTAGCATTTATATTCACCTCAGTAGCGGTTGTTCAGCTAGAACAGGGCACTCCAATATATGTTTTTTTTCCCTGTGATGGTAATGCTGAATTTTCAGCATCCATTACTCCAGTCTTCAGTGTCACATGATCCTTCAGAAATCATTCTAATATGCTGATTTGGTGATGAAGAAACAGTTTTGCTGCTGAATTCAATTCACATCGAAAGCAGCATATAAATTTAGAAACAAGGGAGGAAATGAGAAATTAAGCAATTTATTATAACGCGGCGTCACAACACTTATTTTCAGTCACCTTCAGCCATTACTGGAAATGCTCCTCACGCAAGGTTCAGTGATCAGAGGGGTAATGATGGTTGAAGGTGACTGTGAGAATACCAGAATTACACATAGAATGTCTGAACTGATTTGAATGAATAATGACACAGCACCCCCTAGCGGTGAATTTTATATTTAGCACTCGACTGATATTTGCCTGTATCTTTTAGGTCAGTCATCATCCGCCAGCAGCCGCTCATCATGTGATGTCACAGCGAGGCTGGACCCTGTGGCAGGAAATCACCATCGCTAGCAAGTTCCGTGGCAAATACCTCTCCATCATGCCTCTGGGTGAGTCTCCTCTCCTCTGTTGACCGTCTCACTAATGCACTATTCTTCATATAAACAAATGTACACATATGTACTAGGTTGTAAGTAACACAAAATCTATAAACATTGTTTATGCTGATTTAATTTATTGTCACACAGAGGATTTAATTCTGTATTTCTCTCTTGAATTCACATGATTTGTTGTCATATTGTGATAAAGATGGACATTGATTTTCTGTCTGTCTAACCAGGTGCGATCCACCTACAGTTTCATGCGAGTGGAAACCACTATGTGTGGCGCAAAGTCACCTCCACCGTGCACAACATCATTGTGGGCAAACTGTGGATTGATCAGGTTGAACTTGACATTATTCCATTTCTATGATTACCAGAGTTTTTTGCAGTAGTTTGTCAAATATTCAAAGCTTAGAAATGTCAAGGGGAATATATTTCTTGTAGGTCCATGCTTGTAGAATATATTCTTTGTAGGACCTAGTTTTACTAAATTTTGATGTCCTCTTCTGAATAACAATGACTAAAAATGAGAGAGAGGGGAAAAAAACAGTTTGGCAATTAAACAATGCAGCCAACAGTATTGTTAATGGGATAGTTCACCCAAAAGTGAAAATGTTGTCATCCTTTACTCACACTCATGTCGTTCCAAACCTGTATTCTTTCATAGAAGATATTTTGAAGAATGCTGGTAATCAAAGAGTTGATGGTCCCCATTGACTTCCATAGTATTTCTTTCCCTACTATGGAAGTCAGTGGGGACCAATAACTGTTTGCGTCTTCAAAATATCTTCTTTTGTGTTCACGAAAGAATAGAAGGTTTGGAACGACATGAGGGTGAGTAAATGATGACAAAATGACCTATTCCTTGAAGTTTTAACAAAAAAATTCAGACTTTTTTTTTTTGGCTTTAAGACATGTTTTTTGTTCAATATCAAATACGACTTTATTAAAGAAAAACACATCATATCTCCTCGACCCCCAGATTGAGAACCACTGATTTAATTGTAGGTATTGCTCTCTTTTCATCTTCTATTTTCTTTGTTGCAGTCAGGAGATATTGACATAGTCAACCACAGGACCAAAGAGACCTGTCAGCTCAAGTTCTCTCCGTACAGTTACTTTTCAAGGGAAGTCCCACGAAAGGTATGTTTTGGATTTAAATCGTCCCTGTCCCTCCCGCTGTGATTCATCTGTGAGTTATACTGACAGCAGATAAGAGCCCTTAATGATGTTTGTCATGGCTAAACCATCTTTCTATCCTGCTCTGCCCTCTCTCGGTCTCTACATGCTTCTATAGTTCAACCCCAGAGCTTGTTATCCTTGTTCTCCTTGTTCTTCCACTGTAAGGTCACAGGGGTGGTGAAGGACAGTGACGGCCAGCCCCACTACATCCTGTCAGGTACATGGGATGACAAGATGGAGAGCGCCAAGATCGTGCAGAGTAGCAGAGGAAGCAGCAGCTCTGAGGGCAAACAGAAGACTGTCTATCAGACGCTCACACCCAAACTGCTGTGGAAGAAATACCCTCTACCGTAAGACACAGCATTAATGTCTTTACTTTAGTACCACCTCGGTTGAGGTTCCAAGTGAACCGTACCATTACCAAAACGTGACGCGTAAACTCTGCTGATCACTGATTGGCCGGAGAGAATCGTCACTGAACTTGCGACACAAACACAACAGAACCGCTAGATTTAAATCAGCACAGCCAGCGAAGGATTGACAACTTTTTGACAAATTTGACAAGTTTCATTGTCTGGTGAGGAAGTACAGACGTTCCTCTCGTTGATAGCAGAGGAGCGGATCCAGCGAGAGCTTGATGGGGCGACGCGGAATGAAAACGTTTTTCAGGAGTCGCGGCAGTAGAGGTGGCGCAACTAACGACATGTGAATAATCCCGCCCACTCTAAAGCGATACTAAACTGCAGTGCAAACGCAAACCGAGCCGAGCTGTGCCGTACCGAGCTGAGTCGTACCACACAGTAGAAAAGCACCATAAATCTAAAGGTAGTTTAGTAGTTAGTGTGCTGGGTAAGTAGCTCATTATGTAGGTAGCTACTTACCTACCAGACTATCTGCAGAACTACAGTATTCAGCATAAATGAGTACATCCCCTTTAAAACTTAATCAATTCAGCAATTACTGTTTGGAGATGTAATATTCCAGCAAGTCTGCTTGATTAATTACTAGTTTAATAGTTAGTGTGCTGGGTAAGTAGCTCATTATGTAGGTAGCTACTTACCTACTTACCTGCCAGACTATCTGCAGAACTACAGTATTCAGCATAAATGAGTACATCCCCTTTAAAACTTAATCAATTCAGCAATTACTGTTTGGAGATGTAATATTCCAGCAAGTCTGCTTGATTAATTACCAAAGAAGCATGACAAAATGACATGTGGCCAAGTATGGTGACCCATACTTGGAATTAGTGCTCTGCATTTATCCCATCCAAAGTGCACCCACACACCGTGAACACACACCCGGAGCAGTGGGCAGCCATTTATGCTGCGGCGCCCGGGGAGCAGTTGGGGGTTCGGTGCCTTGCTCAAGGGCACCTCAGTCATGGTATTGAAGGTGGAAGAGAGCGCTGTACATTCACTCCCCCCACCTACAATCCCTGCCGGTACGAGACTCGAACCCGCAACCTTTGGGTTACGAGTCCGACTCTCTAACCATTAGGCCACAAAAAAAATACGATTTTCTTATCAAAGTGATAAAATGTTGTGTTGCAAAAAGTAGTGCATCCTCCTAAAAAGTTACAAAATAAAAGCAAATAAAATGTTGTTTGTAAAATGTTTACATGCTTTTCTTCTTTCTTCTTTTTGCTCTTAACAGCTCCCACTTGCTGTGGTGGAGCAGTTATGAAATATTATTCTTGTAAATACTTTCTAGCATTTCAGTATTTTTATTTTTTTAGAAATAAATATGCATGCAAATTAGAGCGAAGTGCAACAGTTTCCATACAGTGGTCAAAAATGGATTTTAACATTGATTTAAAAAAAAATGTTTATCTTGTAAACTCAGATATGTGGATTTGGATGGCAATTAAATTACCACATGACTTTGCTGTTTGTCAAAAAACACTAGGTAATTTGGCCAGGGATTTGTACACGGGTGGTGGGAGAAAAACACCGGCATTCTGTAGTAGTGCATCCTCCTAAAAAGTTACAAAATAAAAGCAAATAAAATGTTGTTTGTAAAATGTTTACATGCTTTTCTTCTTTCTTCTTTCTTCTTTTTGCTCTTAACAGCTCCCACTTGCTGTGGTGGAGCAGTTATGAAATATTATTCTTGTAAATACTTTCTAGCATTTCAGTATTTTTATTTTTTTTAGAAATAAATATGCATGCAAATTAGAGCGAAGTGCAACAGTTTCCATACAGTGGTCAAAAATGGATTTTAACATTGAATTTAAAAAAAAATGTTTATCTTGTAAACTCAGATATGTGGATTTGGATGGCAATTAAATTACCACATGACTTTGCTGTTTGTCAAAAAACACTAGGTCATTTGGCCAGGGATTTGTACACGGGTGGTGGGAGAAAAACACCGGCATTCTGTATTCGGACAGCAATAAAATCACCAACTAACCCCTGTAAATGTTGAAAATCCCTTACGTCCCCATGAGAAACAATTACCATCCGAATCGGGCTAATTTTGCTAGAAAAAGAGCAGGAGAAATACCAGAGTTGGCAAAAGAGTGATTGCATTGGTATCTTCTACTACTTACCTGCCAAAGTACCTACAGTCTAAACAACATACCTACCAGACTCATTACCTGACAGACCAAAATTGCCTACCTGCAGAAATACCTTCTTCACTTCCTACTTACCCACTTAACTAAAGGTGGCCTTGCAGATCAAATTATAAAGTTAGATTCTCATTCTTGCAGTTGTTCATTCTCTTCTCCCCTCTATCTCTCAGAGAGAATGCTGAGAACATGTACTGTTTCTCCGCTCTGGCTTTGACCCTGAATGAGGAAGAGGAGGGTGTGTGTTGGACGGACAGCAGGCTGAGGCCGGACCAGCAGCTGATGGAAGCGGGACGCTGGGACGAGGCCAACGTGGAGAAGCAGAGGCTGGAGGAAAAACAGAGAGCCAGGAGGAGGAGGAGAGAAGCTGAGGCTTCTAAGGCCATCGATGAAGGTGAGCGGAGGTCCAAGGTCACACAAGATGGTCACATCTCTGTGACATTTGGTCGATGTAGAAGTTTTGAAAACCATGAAACTAGGCGTGTTATTATTTGTCTAATTGAGTCTAAAATGTAAGTCAATTAATATTCACTTCTTGTTTATTGGACTGTTTTATAAAATCAATATCACATTTGCAATCGTACTGATATTTGGAGAAAAAAACTGTACTCTATATCACATGATATAAATATAAAAGTCATACGGGGGCATATTCCCATATCTTGAATTTTGGGGGAATTCTAAATGAATTTTAATAGACTAAATCACTCTAAACGTGCTCGCGCAGTAGTCTAACCTACATCTTATAGTGTATGCGTGCATCCTGTGGGTGTGTTTTTGTTTTGTTTTTGCGATATACTCGATAATGTCATATCTTTTAAACAACAATTACGATAATATTGTAGATGATATATATTGCACACCCCCCTACATTAAACTATAAATTCCATTTGTCAACCACAACTTTTGTGCCACAGTTCAAGCTGTTCTCCTGGTGATGTTATTGTTGTTTTGCGTTACAGGACAGGACTTTGAAAGCTACATGCCGCTGTGGTTCCACCAGAGGACGGATGGACTGACGGGAGAGACTATTTACGTTTATAAGGGGGGTTACTGGGAGGCCAAAGAAAGACAAGCCTGGAATAGGAGTCCCGCTATCTTCTGAACATGCAAAACAATTGACTAACTCTGCAGACAAAGAGGAATAAACCCTCTACATGGACTCATCAGGGCCTTGGGACTGCAGAGGTAGTGGAGACACCTGCGCTGTTTGATCTCTTAGAGCGCGCACGCATGTGTGTGTGTGTGTGTTTGTTTAAGTGTGTGTTTTTGCAGCCCAATGACATATATCTTTGCCCGACTCTTAAACGGACCACTAAAATGGGAGAATAGAAGAATGTTCTCTCTCAAGTTCATTTCAAAGACGAGTGTGTGGGAGAAATGCGCAGTTGAACTCTTAGTCAAGTGCCGCCCCAGTTTATCTTCCAAAGCAAATCAGGTTCTTTTTATTCAGTTCAACCCCATCGCAAATGCACTTTCCTCTCTTCCCAGCAGTGAAGTACACTGGACTGAGTCTTGTTTATAAAGAGATCATATCCCATGAAGAAACTCACATATGAAGGAGAGACTCACTCGACTTAACACAACGCAGCTGAAACATTTCAAAGAATCGTCTGATTGTTCAGCTTGTGTACTTTGTTTCATATCAACAACAGTACCATATTTGAGCAAGGGAAGTTCTTGTATTTGTATATCCCAGGAGCACAATCAGGCTCTTATTGGAAACAGCTGAAGACTTTCTCCCTGGCTCCGCCCCCTTTGCATAGCAAATAACAGTAAAGATTCATCTCGTGTCTTCAGTTAACCAATGAGCTTCAGGCAAGCATTAAAAGAGCGCTTGTGTCTGTTGTATTGGACAGTGCAGGTATTCGGACACAGATGTGTTTTACACCCATGAATTGTCATGCACATTAATTAGCTGCTTCCTGCATTGGCTCAGTGGAGCCCCCAGTGGTCATTATCGTGTTACTGTGACTGCCACAGTACAATGCATATCAATGCAATTAAAAAAAATAATACTATTTTGTACAATCAGGATACTTAATGAATGAATGAACGAGCAACTAATAAAAATAAACAAGTCACCCGCTTGACTCACTCCGAGGACATAGCAAACAATCAAAATACAAAGTGTGATACTGAAAACACAAGCAAACAGCTTGCTGACCTTGTTTTGTGTTCATAGCATGCTTGTATTTATTAGCATTAGAGAACGTGGATTAAAACACCCAAGTGTTCCTGATAGTTCACATTACATTATGGTGATAGAGAAGTACATTGTAGTACATTTTTTTTAAACTGGTAATTTCAGTACTTTGTAACAGAAAGACCGATTTTAAATTTCTTCTCAAGGTTATAAATCATCAGGACTCAGGAGTGATTTAAAAAAAAAAAAAGGATTTTGTTGTTTTGCTGAACACTATGAAACTGTAGCCCCAAGCTGATACAAAGTTGAATAACAGAAACAAATCTACGGTATTTCTTTTATGTTTATCAAGTTCTAAAGCAGTGGATTCAGACCTGATCTCATCACTGGAGATCAGTTCTCACTTTATTTCTAATTGCTGTCAAAGTGTAGAATTATGCTGGAGGTCTTATTTTGCACTCACGCCACTATGTATTTCGTGATAACCGTAATTATTATTACTATTATGAAGAAAACAGAAGTAATGATGCCATGCCATTCTAATAAATGCTGTTTTTGGTAAAAACCTGAATTTTAACCAAGAGGTTTACTTGTAAATGGATATTTTAATTTCAACTGATCCAGCTAGTCAAAGTTTCATTTTTGACAAGCTGTCAATGTATGATTAGAAATGCTAATATTTTCTATTAAAACTCCCTGACTTGGATACTGGCAGGCACTTTTCATGTCTATATACATTCGTTAGGAATGCAGAATGACTGAAGAGGGTGTGATGATTTGTGTAGAATTTTGTCAACCCTGATCATCCCTAAAGCATGGAATGAAGTGCAATATAACAATTGAGGGTTTATGTTTGTGCACACGTTCCCCACCCATACATGTAAATGTCATTTTCCCTAAGATTATTTATAAAAACAAATAAAGGCTTACATTTTTGTTACATGGTTCGCAGGTTCAAAATCTGAGTTGGTAATAGAGAGATCGTAAAATCATAACTATAGAGAAAACCACATTACCACTGAAGGACTAATACTATTAGGATGTTCTAAAAATGAAAAGAAAAAAAAAAGCGCTAAATCAATTGTTTGTGAATTCAATTGGGAATAAATAAAAGTTGTTACAATTTCAGAAAAGAAACAATTAGGTCTTACAAATGGATGCTCTTTTTAGTAACACTGTATTAAAGCCTTTGCTCAAAAATGATATCAAATCGAGTCATTTAATCAAACAGTTTTATTACCCCAGCTTCACAGGTTTGATTTTATTGTGTAATGTTAATATAGAGTTCATATGCAAAATGTGGAATGTAAACAGACCCGTCAAACGATAGATAGAAATCAAAGTAAGTACCGTTAATACATTTTTAAAAACTGGAATGAATTCAGTGGCTCACAATCCACACACCAAAATCTCACATTAAATTCAAGAGTTTAAAAAAAGGACCATTCTGGAGAAGCAGAACCGAGTAACTGGACAGATCTGCAGGTTAAAAATCACTAAAAACATCTCCATTTATGATACAATTAAAAATAAACGACTTTGAGAGTTTCGCCCTGAACACCAACACAATGATACAATGCATTTCCTCATTAAATGAATTCAATTCTAAATGACTTCATCTGAAAAATTCAATCCACCACCCACCCATCAGAATACATTCAGCATATTAGGCACGTAGAAATATCTGAGCCTCCTGTGGGCTAGAAGAGGTTCTTGAGGAGATTTTTCAAACAGAAAGAAGGATTTGAAAAACTATACAGCCCAACAGAAACGAGATCTGGGCTAATCAACATGAAGAATGAACACATTTGGGCTAACGTTGCTCAAATTTGGAGCAACAATTAGGCAAGTCATTGTTGCCCTTTCTGAGCATCTTGTTGCCAACATCTGAGAAATACTGCGCCCAAAATACAAACTCCTGATTGCGTTATATCTGTTGTTATCGAAGCACAGATCCATTCAACACTATAAATGAACTACATGAGCCATATGGAGGATGAAAATGCTGGAATTTAAACAAGCCGTTAAATCACTTGCTCGACTGCCAATAAACAAAAAAGTTAAACTTCAAAGTCACTCATGGAACGTGCTCGGCTATGGAGAGTCAACGATCTCTGCACAGTCAACAGGCATGATATTCTCAAACAGCACTTTTGTGAAGCGCTAATACATTCAACACATAAAAAAAGCACTCAAGAATCCTATTTACAGTCCAGAGCTGTTTCTTTTTTCTCAGCGTGTTTGTGTTACGGTTGCATGTCCCAAAATGTTCAAGCATCTGATGTGGCTCAGTATTGTCAATGCTGATCTGGTATCTCCATATAAAGAGTATTTGGTTGGACCACTTTGGCATGTATTGCAACATGTAAACCTGTTCAAATGAAGCTCACAGATCTGCTCTGCTCTGGTCTGGTGTTTAGCGTGCCAAGGTTCACAACAACCCCTCGTTTTCAAAGCTGGTGTGCAAGAGAGAGAAGGCAAATGGTACAAACTTGACGCCAGCGCCGCTATAGAACTTATTCTGGAACTCCACCCTGAGGAGAGAGAGGTGATTTCAGTTTGAATCATTCAGTATAAATTCATACTGTGTTTGAATATATACTGAGGATTGTACTGACCAGTGGAGTCTGAGAGCATGAAGGAAGGCTGAAAGTCCCTCCATCACCAGCAGGATGGACACAGTGAGGACAGCAAACAGACCAAAAACAGGCACCAGGAACACAATGCCCACACTGGTGTCCACACGCAGACCCACCCGCATCACCATCGCCCACAACACTTCAGAGAGCTCTGGACCACAACAAAACATGTTCAGCATGCCATTTTTAAAAGCAATTAAAGGCTTCTAATTGTCCAAAACAACAATTTACAGGACCTATGTAGGCTAAACATTTCACCCAGTATTTCTGCTGTAATTATGATAAAGCAGCTTGTTTCAAACTCTTTTATTAACACACATTGGATGTGCTGAATATATTAAATTAATCACAAATTTAACTACAAAACTGTATAGTCGTCAATTAAAAAAAATTAGCAAATATTTCAGTTTACAGATTATTTAAAAAAAATAAAATAATAGATAGTCATTCAAGTAGTGCTGGGCAGAAGTACAAAAAAATTGTATTACGGTATTTTTAAGAATTTGGTTTCAAGGTATATCACTGTATTTTTGTCTTTACATGCCTGGACCTTTGTATAGGTTTATAGTGGCTTATTTTTCTGTCGGGATTACACAGGGAAAAAAACAAACATTATAAGGTTAAATACAAATTTACTATCAAAAACGGTGGTAATTAAATACATTTATAAACAATTTAGTTCATATTTTAAAATGTAATCAAAATAATTTAGTGATATTCCTTAAAAAATTATGTTTTCAGTATTATTATCATCATAATTACTTTAAAAAGAACATTCTATTGGTCAATTATTAGACAAACATTTATTTTGGCAGGTTTTAATGATGACCTTTGATTTCTGTGTTTTATAAACTGTATTATTATTTACTACACTGAAGGGTATGTTACTCACGGGCATGTGCCAGGCTGAGAGCCCACAGACGGAGGTAAGACGCAGTGTTAGAGATGCAGCCCAGGCAGTACTCTATAGTGTGGATGGACTGATGGAGGAAGACATCAGCAAAATCAAACTGGAAGAGAGGAAACTTTGTTAGGCTCATAGGGAAAGTAGTTTATTCACACCAAACGATGCACGGAATTAGTTTTAAATTAGGGGTGCGCAATATGAACAAAATCTTATAGCACGATACGAGTAATTTTATATCACGATAACGATATATATCACAATATAGTTTTTATTTTAGGTGTGTGTCAGGCAGCCTTGTCAGTGGCGCACGAAATGTGACGATGATGTAAGTGTCATTGCATTTTAATGCTTTTGTTAGCCTATCCAGTTGAAGCCACTAGACGCGGCGCTGCTGCGTTGTTCATTCAAAATATTGCAGAAAAAGAGAACAATCAATGCGGGGAAGATGTTGTTTACATCAAAACCGAAACCAAGCCGTTCACACAGAACGCATATTTATCGCATTTTCTAGAGGGATATCTATCACCGTTGCACTCGCGTCTCGCACAAGAGAGCCGCATGTTTAAAAAGCTATGTAAAATTAATGTAAGTTCAACTTTTAAAAATCATGTCTCGAGACTTTATGGCGGTTTTCCCCATCCCACTGCATCTCAAGTTTTTAAATACTTATTTTTAAGTACTCTTTGTGATTGGTTTTCGGTCCTTTGTATTAAACTATACATACATCCATGATGCGGTTTTGTTTCTAATTGTTTAAGCAACTTTATTAATTATATATGGTTTATAAACATTATTTTAAATATTATGCACTTTTTTCAAAGATAGTCGTGTTATTTTATTATGCTTTGAAGAATCATGCATAATATTTTGCTTGATGTGCCCTCTTGTGGCCTCAGGAGAGAAGCCAAAAGCTTTTTTTCCCCCTAACTGAAATTATCCCTTTTAAATTAGAATATAATTCGAATATTGATCATATTTAAGTAAAAAAAATTTGAATTTAGTTTTTCAGCCATTTTGACAGCCCTACTACATACATTGTATAAATTCATCAAAAACACTGCATAGTTTTCACTGTGTAAATTACATTTTGTATTAAGTTACAAAAGTGATTTAATCAAGAGCAGTGAGAGATTTTCTCTCTTTTGTTGTTTGATTAACATGAATGATAGATAGCAGGAATATTAGACTGCTGTCATTTTAAGAGCTACCCAGATCCAATATACTATTACACATGTTTTCTTTCAGCTGTTTACTGTTTCACTTAAGACCTAAATTACTGTGTTTATGAGAATACTTGCAAAGACAGGCATTTTCATATATATAAGTATGTGTATTTAACCGTACAAGGCCAATAAAGCAACAAAAATACTCACATACTCTATGTGCAGCAGATTCATGTAGGATTCATGCAGATCGTGCTCAGAACAGTCTCACAGACAGAGCACGCATATATAATGCTGTTGTTTGCATTTAAACAGCTTAAAGTCACTCGCTTAAAAATGTGTGCAAACAATACATTTCGTGACCACAGTGCAATGCAACTTGATGTGAGTGCATAATCGCAATAAAGATCATAGTCCAAAATCTCTACCGGTTAACAAATTTCTACCGGTTAATCATGTCTACCAGTATATCGCCCACCCCAATTCTGAATGTCTTACCTCCTCTGATTGGCTGTCAGAGCTGGAGGAGTGGCTGTCCAGACTGGTGCCCTCCTCCACATCATGAGCATGCATGAGAGAGAGCTCCTCCTCACTGCTCCGCCGTACACGCTGATAACCCTACAGAGAGAGAAACTCAGCCAACGGCTTTCAGCCAACTGCAGAACACACACTAACAAAACAAGGATCCTCACCCGGTACATGCTCAAGTGGTCTCTGCCCTTGTGTTGCCAGTAGAGGTAGAGAGGTTTGCCCAAGAGTAACACAGGCACAGAGAGCACAGCCACAATCAGCAGGAACACCTGAAACCCAGCCTGTGGGAAAGAGGGAAAATACATGTAAAGAAACACAGAGGTGCATGTAAAGTGGAATGGGTGCATGTACAGTTCTTTCAGTTCCACCTGTCCTGGGTAGAGGGGCTGACTGGAGTCCCCCTGCATCAGGAACATGTTGATAAAGTGGATGAGAATGCTGGGAGCTGTCTGAGAGTCTCTGACTGTGAAAAACAGCCACTTATAAATGATCATGAAGACCAGATAGCCGAAGAGGCAGAGCAGGAAGAGCAGCTCAGGAATAAATATCAGGTACAGATTGAATGTCCGTCTGAAGTGCCTGAACAGAAGAAGATATAAAGTATTAGAAGGATCAAAGTCATACATTTGAAATGGATCTATCGAAAATATCTTTTAAAACGTCTCACAGGTGATTGAAAACGCCAAGGACGACTCCAAAAGTCATGTGGATTATTCCTATGATCACAGACATCTTCATCTTATAGGAGTTCAGGAAGGTGAGACGGTTGGATGCCAGGTTCCAGATCTACAGAGTGCAAATAAAATAGTCTTAAACTTCCTTTTAAAACTAATGATATATTTTATAACTATTAAAAAAAAATCATAGCTTGTCATTCACCCATGGAACCTTTCACCCACTGTTACTTGTTTTTATGGTGATGTGATAGTTTCGTTTGATAACACAGTAATAAAATGAAGGCAGAGACCTACCGGGTCAATGCCCAGAGGATAGGGCCCTTTAAAGACTCCTGTGACGTTTGGATCCAGTGCAAGGAAGCTATTTGAGCGGAGTGTGCTTGGACTTGAGAGAAAGAGAAAATGAAGATCACATTAGAGCCACATACTGTACATGAGAAATCTCTGTGCCTGCTGTTGTTCCCTACGGTGAGGTAATAAATGAAATTGTGATGATCATCTGCATAATCTCCACACAATTACACTTCAACTCACCAAGACTGCATTTATTTGATCAAAAATACAATAAAAACAGTAATATTGTTAATATTACTACAATTTATAAATGTCTTTACTGTCACTTTAATGTGCCCCTCCTGAATAACCCAAAACGTTTGAATGTTGGTGTATATAGAATAAACCTCTTCAAACATAGCATCATGAGACACACAGTCATTGTTAGAATTGGCTTCCTCTTATGTGTGAACTCGGATTCAACTGTCAGGATAACAACTGGCTGTACAAAGAGCTGATAAATGAAATGTGCTTTAGTAAAGCCTTGATTTCATCTCTATGGAAACCGGAAAGGTTGTACCTACATTTCAAAATAATTTGTTAGATACAGCTATGGGAAAAATTAAGAGACCACTGAAAATTCATAGTTTCTCTGAATTTGCCATTTATGGGTATGCGTTTGAGTAAAACAATTTTTGCTTTATTCTGTAAACTATTGATCAAATGTCTTTCAACTTTTAAATAAAAATAAAATGTCATTTAGAGCATGAAATGACAGTTGGTCAAAATAACAAAAAAGATGCCATCTTCATATTTATTTTTAGACAACACAATACCAATGTTTTAACTTCAGGAGAGTTAAGAAATCAATATTTTCAATCACAACAAATGAAAACATTTGTTATTGAAATGTAATTTTCTTGAAATTATTTTATTGGAAATTTGGAAGAAATGTTATCACACCTTTATAGAATAAAGCCCCGTTCACACCAAGAATGATAACTATAAAGATAACAATATTAGCGTCCACACCAGCGAACGATATCGTCTGTTTATTCTAAGCGCACATGCGTCTGCCGCTTTAAATTCTTGAGCTCGTTACAGCAGGATGGATTCTGATTGGCTGTCAGTGTTTTATCGTTCATCAGCTGGGAAAAAAAATCGTTTTGAAAGTGATCACAACGATATCGTTCCTCTGTATCGCTATCATTATAGTTGTGGTGTGAACGATGCTATTCTTTAATATTGGGAACGATTTTTAGAACGATATCTTTATCGTTATCTTTATAGTTATCGTGCTTGGTGTGAACAGGCCTTAAAACATTTTACTCAAACTCATAGAATTTTCAAGTGTTCTCTTCGAGAGAACTTTTTTCCTGAGATTTTTTCCCATAGCTGTAGATCCATTAAAGAAATGTATGATACTACATTTTAAAACATTTTTTGCCCACTACATACTGTATAGTACATTGTTCTTTTTTCAATTTTTGCTTAAATAAAAGATGCCGTACACAATATTTTGTGCTTTGGACACTCACCTCCAGACTCCAGGCACAAACATAGCGCTGACGTTCCACCCCGAGCCAAACAGGTTGAGTGATTTAGAGAAGCAGTCATTGTATATTAATCCAGTGTAGACTGAAAATATACCCATCAACAGGATGATGTAACGGCCCTCGAAAAAAATGTTCCAGATCTAAAAACAAAAAAACAGTAACAATGTTAATCAAACTATAACAAAAACAGTCAACTAATACTAGACTAAATAACTTTTAACAACCATGTCTAAATGAATTGCAGAAGAAAATGAACACTGTCATAACAGCAAGCTGCATGTACCTCATTTCTGGTTTTCTTCAGTTTGCGGTCATTCTCATAGAGAACCATCCACAGAGCAAACAGTGCCATGATGACGCCATGCCCGAGGTCTCCAAACATCACAGCAAACAGGAAGGGAAAGGTAATGATTGTATATGGAGCTGCGAGGAGGTGTGATAAAGAAGAAAGATTACATATCTTATCTAAGAATATTACATATGAAGCATTGATGTTAAAAGCTGCTTACATGAAATCAATTTTAATGTTAATACTTAGTGCTTTTAATCGCTACCCTCTCACCTGGGTTGACCTCTCTGTAGCTGCTTACGCCGTAGGCATCCACTATATTCTGAAAGCCTGAGGTAAACGTGTTGGTGCGTACGAGGGTTGGTGGAGTGTCATTGCTTGGGATACGATTGACAAATGAGGGAACTGTTGCTCCATTCTTCCTCTGAAGGAACAAAACAACAGAGTTAAAGGGAAAGTTCACCCAAAAATGAAAATTTGTGTGTCGAAGACTGACACGGAAGAGAAGAAATTGTGAAACAAAGGCATCATTTTTCTTCTTTTCGCACAAAAAACTCTCGGATTTCATCAAAAATATCTTAAGTTGTGTTCTGAAGATGAAGGAAGGTCTTACAGGTTTGGAACAACACATTTTCATTTTTGGGTGAACTATCCCTCTAAGAGATATGTGCACAATTATTAATCAGATGTATCTGAATTAGTGCACCTTCGAAATAATGTCAAGTACTCACCGATCCATCCTCTAGAGCTCTCCGAAGAGTGGGCAGATCATTTACGGGACACCACACCTCAGCTATGAGGCACTTGTTTGTGACATCAAAACTGCAGAGGTTAAGGATGTGATATATGGCCTTCATTTTCTTAACCTGGATCACCCAAACGTACACAGACTCTGAGGCCTTGATCAACACCTGCCTCAGGTAATCCTCAGTCCGGTGAAGAACCTACGAAGAAACAATGGTTTCAAGAGCATGTTCAAAACTATGTCAAACTAAACCATTTCACATGTAAAGTTTTAAGTGTGAAATAACATATAGTGGTTCAACCAGGAGGCTTTGGCAAACTTCAAAGTGGGCAGCAGGATGACTTAAAATTAATGCATTTACTTATTTATTCATATATTTATTTATTTTTAAATTGTGTATTAATGTAAAGCTCTGTAATAATACTAATTACATGCTTTATTGAAGAACATACAGTTTGTGAAATTTCTGGAATCACAAAATTAATGTAATATATTTCTCAGTTTGTGCGGATAAGATTTTGAAAACAAGCTTTTTGTCAATTACAGCAATAAATATGTTAAACTGTACGGGGAACTTAAATAAATGTGTATTTTCCTCCAAGGTCAGCCATACATGGCATTTTGTTGCTCTGGTTTCTGAACTGTGTTCTCAGATGAGCATGCAGTAAAAGCATTTTGCTGTGCTCTTCAGCAAACTTATCTTCAATCAATCAAGGAAGAGTTTCTAGGCACAGAAACAACCCAATTTACTTTTCATGAAGGGTTGAGTGAGCCGTTCTCTTTTCATAGGTTTTGAGAGGAACAGTGAGTAAGAACAAAGTATCGAAAAATAATTTAATGGTGCCTGTAGTCTGTGAGAAATTTGTCCACAGCCTAGACCTTGTGAACATCATGTGCTGAGTTGGGCCACTAACACAATTTTCTTTCTCTCTTTTACAGAGCAGTCACAAGCAAACTTAAATGCCCTCAAACCTAACCTGCCCCCCCTACATTCCTCCACTGCATGGCTGACTAGAACTGGTTAGAAAAGATTAGTTACAACACTAAATTCAAATAATTCTAATGTAGATTCTATTATGTACACTTTCTGCTCTTTTGGTTGGAGTATCTGAAGTACCATCCACTGCTAAAGACAGACAGAACGCGATCAAGCCCTTCTACAATTGCAGCCCATCATTTATTACTGTGCATGACACAAAACTCAATAAACCTTCATGCATTTCATTACTATAATTCCTGTTAAAGTGTTATTTCGAGGAATTTGCACTTTACTCAAGCACTATTGAAACAAGAAATTTGCACTTTTTATTCAGTTAAGAAAAGAGATATTTTGCTTCTCTGAACTAACAAGTGAGATCATGTCTGTGTAAATTTTATTAAACTTTTATTGAAAACAAACAATAAAATCTGTATTACAATTAGCTGCTAATTGTAAATTGAATTTAACAATGCCAAGTTACAGTTTCTAGGACAGATGTTTCGGTTTACCGTCTGGTGTGTCTTACAGCCTTCCCTGGTAAGGACTAAACTGTGGTTATACAGGATGCTTGAACATTTTGTGCATCAAAGTTGCTTTGAGTCAACCTCAACTGTCCCCGATTTCCTCAGTCAGTTTCAGAAGACGTTAAAGTACAATTAAACATGAATGTTTTTTTTTTTTTAATCTTTATTTAAGATTAAGCTGAGATTATTAGTAACTAAGAAAGTTTTTTTAAAAAGTCAGTAAATGACTAATATCACTAGTGAGAGCAGACTTACACCCTCATCATGTTACACTCAGTCAAAGCAAGAAAAATGTGCGTGTCAAACTGTAACAAGGGTGAAACTAGGGGTGGGCGATATGGCAAAAATATCATATCACGATTTTTTTTAGATGTTTCGGTTTACCGTCTGGTGTGTCTTACAGCCTTCCCTGGTAAGGACTAAACTGTGGTTATACAGGATGCTTGAACATTTTGTGCATCAAAGTTGCTTTGAGTCAACCTCAACTGTCCCCGATTTCCTCAGTCAGTTTCAGAAGACGTTAAAGTACAATTAAACATGAATGTTTTTTTTTTTTAATCTTTATTTAAGATTAAGCTGAGATTATTAGTAACTAAGAAAGTTTTTTTTAAAAGTCAGTAAATGACTAATATCACTAGTGAGAGCAGACTTACACCCTCATCATGTTACACTCAGTCAAAGCAAGAAAAATGTGCGTGTCAAACTGTAACAAGGGTGAAACTAGGGGTGGGCGATATGGCAAAAATATCATATCACGATTTTATTTTATTTTTTTAAATACCACGATTCATGATTTTATCACGATTCTTTGTTATATTGGTTTTACTATTTTCAAGGTAATAGGTAATAATTTCAAGGTAATAAAATATAAAAAAAGAATTGCAGAGTTTTTGGCTAAGGTGGGCGAAGATAAAAATCTTTCATTATTTTATCTGCTATTAAAAAATAAGAACAAAGATACATGTTACAAATACACATAATATACAAATAAAACAGTGCTTTATTTTCAAGAAATTGAATGAACAAATATAAAATTAAACACTATATAGATTTATTATTATAGCAAAGCAACTGTATTAAAGTTCTTCAGTCAAGATTAGTGAGTGATTTTTCTCTTTGCGTTTTGTTATTTTATTAATAAAGGAATAGTTCACCCAAAAATAAAAATTCTGTCATCTGTCTGTCAGATCTGTCATAGTGTTTTATTTTTAGAAACTAGGGGTGGGCGATATGGCAAAAATATCATATCACGATTTTTTTTTTTTTTAAATTTTAAAATACCACGATTCATGATTTTATCACGATTCTTTGTTATATTGGTTTTACTATTTTCAAGGTAATAGGTAATAATTTCAAGGTAACAAAATATAAAAAAAGAATTGCAGAGTTTTTGGCTAAGGTGGGCGAAGATAAAAATCTTTCATTATTTTATCTGCTATTAAAAAATAAGAACAAAGATACATGTTACAAATACACATAATATACAAATAAAACAGTGCTTTATTTTCAAGAAATTGAATGAACAAATATAAAATTAAACACTATATAGATTTATTATTATAGCAAAGCAACTGTATTAAAGTTCTTCAGTCAAGATTAGTGAGTGATTTTTCTCTTTGCGTTTTGTTATTTTATTAATAAAGGAATAGTTCACCCAAAAATAAAAATTCTGTCATCTGTCTGTCAGATCTGTCATAGTGTTTTATTTTTATACCATAATTTACTCACTCAAAAGTTGTTTTAAACCTGCATGAGTTTCTTTCTTCTGCTGAACATAAATGTTAATTTGAAGAACGTGAAAAAACAGAGTTGCTGGTCCACAGTGACTTTCATAGTATTTTTCCTACTATAAAATTTAATGGGGACCAGCAACTGTTTGGTTACCCACATTTTTCAAAATATCTTCTTTTGTGTTCCGCACAATAAACAAATAAATACAGTTTTGGCACAACATGTGAGTGAGTAAATAACGACAGGAATTAAATTTTAGGGTGAACCATCCCTTTAATGACAGTCGGCAGCATGTTTAGTACTGTCCCTTTTAGAGCTGCACGTATCCGACTTTCTCTCAACTGTTTACTTTCATTTTAGACATAACCAACTGAGTCTGTATGTAAACCTTGTGTGTTTTGACAGTATTAGCGCAAAAGCTAACTTAGTCCAGTAATCAGGAGCTGTTTGACAGGGTTTTTAGTGCGTGTGCTTCAGCTGTACCCCCTCAGAAAAAGCGCACGTCAGAACAACGCGTGAATGAAATGTTTAACAGCTCTAAAGCAGATGCAAATAATGTACTTTTGTGATTGTGAATAAGTGCAGTGTCCTGTAACAGTAACTCTATCGTGTGCTGTAGCACGATACTACGATATTTCTTAAAAAGCAGATCGTGGAGACATTTTTATCATCCACGATCAAAAAGCGTCATATCGCACACCCTTAGGTGAAACCGAGCTCATCTGGACTCACCGTGTGCAAGTCCTGAATGCGTGTGCGGAGCCCCTCCACCACATCTGTCCTCTCCTCATTACTGTTGGGGTATGGGTACAGATGACAGTGGTAGCTATGAAAACAAAAACAATATTTTCAAAACTCCAGCACTTCTACTTTCTCTTAAGAACAAAAATGCTCTGAAAGAATTATAATAGATTAAGAAATGAAAGCATGAAGCTTCCCCTAAATGTAACAGGGAACAAGCTATTTATAATCTTTATGAAAAAGGAGCAGTGTGACGCAATCAGTTAGCACGTTGGTGGTTAACTGCCCCAGATATGTGGCAGCTAGCTTAGCACAAAGTTATTTAAACTAGACTGATTAACAGAATAACCTCATGTAGAATGTAGGAAGTTGATTTAAGAGCTAAGTTACCAGTCACAAATCTTCTTAACTTTCTGTCCAATCTGATCTCCCCAGTAGGAGATGAGAAACACCACACTCCTGGTTGGCTCCCCCTGACAAAACAGACAAACTAGAACATCTTAAAAGACTTAGATATTCCTATTTTTGTTAATATTATTATGTTTAATTGAATCAAGCATCCAGCATTACAGTAAAGGCTTAGATCAAACTGACCACAAGACAAGAAACAAATGGTTAAAAAAAAAAAAAAGATTTAACCAAACATTTTTGTTACCAAAAACAACATATAAAATCAAACTACAGTATGTTGGAGATGCCAACTAGTCTCACCGTAGCAGGATCCTCCAAAAGCCCATCTACCTCCGAGTAGCTGAGGATGGTGTAGCCCTTACACACTCTCCAGAGCATTCGCTCAAACGCCTCGATTTTTACGCTCTGGATGAGCCCAGAAATGAACCTGTGCAGAAGGGACAAGAAGAATATGAGCTCCACTTTACAACACTAACATGAATTCAAAAACACAGGTTTTGTGTGCTTTTAAACATGCATACAAGAAACAGGATGTTAGATCAAAAAGATGATTTTAAAAGAAAAATCAGTTTGCATGGAAGGTGTGTAACAGGAAACTGTGCTGATGGTGAACATTCTTTCACATTAACTGTTGGTGAGCCAAAGCAGGACATGGACAAGAGCAGTATACTTTCAGCTTTATATTTTTAAACACTGCTCACCCAAGCTTGGCTCCAAGCCTCTGCATGCTGGTGTAGTCCATCATGGGTTCTTTCTCTAGGAAGAGAAACTCTTCATACTGAACCTGTGACGGCTCCCTCTGCTCATACACAAGCAAAAACCCAGCAAGAGATTAGATTCACACAACGCCTCGGTGATCAAGAAGAAGTCGTCAAGAGTTAAGCCTATTTGTAAAGCCACTGCTGGCTCCTCGCAAAGTTCTGGCAGTCAGTGAAAATCAGGTGACTCCAAATCACCTGCGGGATTCCCACAGTCCTTTTCTCTAAACACATGAATTCCTTTCAATTACACCAGAAAGGTCGAACATGATACCAAAGACATCAACAGACAAACTGCAGACAGTACACTGGGCAAGAGTTTTAAAGATATTTGATTTCTAAAGAGCTGTTTGCTTAACAATATTAGTGATATAATGAAGAACAAAAGCAGGCTAAATCTTTCCACCAATCAGACGTTCCCCGTTTCTTTTGCTTAAACAGATGTTCCAAACATTTGACAGGGAATCACATGACCTACCTCTGCACTGCGGTGCACAAAGTTGCGTGTGATGCGTAGCATGTGTGTGTACTCAGTCAGTTCCAGAAGGTTCTTCTGGAGTTTCTCCTTGTTCCTGGTGACCTCACTCAGCTCCAGTTCCAGTCTCTGAAGCTGCTCCTAAACAGAACACACAGGAATCGGTAATAACTAAATATCAGCAGTCATATATCAACGTTGTAAGCAGTGCACTGACATTGAGGAAAGTGTTCCTGAGAGAGACCTAGCAGGGAACTGAAAATAAACATTTCAACGACATCCAATACATGCGATAAAATTATTAAATAAAGGTTAAATCCCAATTCAATAGGCAAATATTTTATATTTACATTTTGAATGACAAACATTCTATCAGCAGACATTTTCAAACTTAAAGGGGTCATATGATGCTTTTTTAAAGATCATTATTTTGTGTATTTGGTGTTTTGTAAAAAAGTTATCTTTAAAGCTCCGCTATGTTGTTAAAATTATTTAACAAAATGTCTTGAACTGAGCAAAGCAGCCATAAAAGAAAGAAAACAGAAGCAGAAACTAGGCAACTGGTTGTGAGAAAACAGAACAGAAAAGACATTTGAATGTGTCTGAAAGACCAACTAATCACACGAGTTAAACAAATGAACAGCGCTGAACTGATCTCACCATTATGACCATCACATGTTTGGGTAATGGTGCAGCTGGGTTCACCTCCCCTTCTGGCAGTGAGATGTCTTCTTTTTTGATTTCCCGCAGGAGATATCCTGTTATACAAGTCCACTTTGAGTTCATTCTGTTGATTTACTTTGGGGGATTTTAATTAGCTTTAATGTCTGTTTCTCAAGGGCCATCACATACCAATCTTAATCTACTGAATTAACCTGAACGCACCGTTTATAAACTCTAAAATTAAATAACCTTATGGTCCTGCCCATCACTCATTCACAAATATTTTAAAGAAAAATTCCTATTTGTACTACAACAGTTTTTTGTAATAACTCAACCATCATGAACATGCTTTGTTTTCAGAAAGTACTAAGACTATCATTTTGAAGTATGCCCTTATTAAAGAATTTAAGTTAATCTAATACGTTTAATTTAGTGCTGTCAAATCATTAATCGCATCCAAAATAAGTTTGTTTACATAATATATGTGTGTATTAATTAATTATTAAAGTAGAAATACACATTTACACAATTGCACCATGGCACATTGCAGAACACTGCTGAAACTGATTTACTGAACATTAAGATCACCTATTTGAATACAAAATAGAAAGAAAAAAAAAATCTAATAATATGTTCCGTTGGCCTTTGATGCAGGACAAAATGACAGACGTTGCTCTTGACAAGGCTGATCCTGCTGGTTCATTACCCAGCACAGAGAAAGAACCAGATGACGAAATAGAAGAGAAAAACCAAGAGGATCCACCAGCAACCGCAGCAGAAGGAGAGGGTGCAGCAGGTGGTGTGTACCGTTACATCAAAGGAGATCTCTTCACCTCGGAGATCTTTAAAGTTGAGATTCAAAACTTGCCCAAGTACATTGGTTTTAATGACCTGAAGAAGTTCCTCAACAAGCATGGGATCAATCCTCACAAAATCAAGCTGTTTAGCAAACAGATGTTTGCCTTTGTCACTTTTAAGAATCAGGAGGAAAGGGACAAGGCCATGAAGGCAGTGCACGGCATGCAGTGGAAGAGTAAAGTGCTGAGTGTACGGCTGGCCAAACCCAAAGCTGATCCCATCCTCAAGAAGAGGAAACAAGAGGAGGAAGCGGAAGGTGGACAGCCTGGTGCAAAACGTGCAGCCGGTAGCCAGGAGGGAGAGGAGGATGAAGAAGAGCCTCTCAATATCCAGATTGCCAATGCTGTGACACCTGGGTTAAGCTGGGGGGAAAAAAAAAGAGAAAGAAAATATATATCAAAACAGATCCAGGATGACTGGAATATTCTACACACATTCAAAACATTCCATACGAATACATTCAAAACAATACCTTTAATACTAGTTAATGCAATAAAAATATGAACAATAATAATATTAATGATAATAATTAATTGAAATACGCATTTCTAACATTTCTTACACTTACAGTTAAACATTATATAAAACCATGTTTGTTAATGACTTAATAATGAGAGTAAAGAACACAAAGTGTGCCAAAAATTAATGCACTTTTGAAGCATACCAACAGTTTATGTGGGTATCTGACAGATGCGAGCACTTATGTTATTCAGTCAATTAAAGTTGTAGAAATGTGTGGGTGGTCTGGTCTCCGAGAACCTAGTGTGCCGAGTATAACGTTAGTATAATCGATAGCTCAGCAGTGCCTTATGAAGAACAGCTGAAAAGGAAAGAGAAAGAAGTTGAAGGTGTTCTCCAGAAACTGACCAGGTATTTTCTGATGGGTCCGGTGACATGCGTATGCATGGATGGCTTCCAGATGTTTCTTTTATAAATAGCAAAAATAGATCAATTGCATGACATTGTCAAACATATAGTTCATACATGAGCTTCTAGTAGTATAGCAAAAGCTGGTCAGTAAAGTTTTCCTTCAATATAACCAGCCTCCTTGATACTTGTTCTCAGAGAAATTGGCAACAACAACAAAGCCATGCTTCCCTGGTTGTTTGTTCAAAAAGAGAAGTACAACAAAATGTGCTGCCCACTCGAGGCCATACGACCATCACCTGTGCAGGTAAATCATCTGTGCTCACATAAATAATTCTAATCAGTCACACTTTAATTAACTCACAGAATAACTATCATAAAGTATGTGAAGGGTTGAGTGAACAATAAACGGATGCATAATAAATAGTTTGTTTACTACAGTCTGTGGAAATGGTATGATTGAATGTGATTGGTCATTATCTAATGAAGAATTTGTCCTTGCAGACGGAGTACAGGAATAAGTGTGAGTTTGTGATTGGAGTGGGAGCAGATGGAGAGGATAAGACAGTGGGCTTTCGTTTAGGCAAGTATAAAGGAGGATCCTGTGCTGTAGTGAGTCCATCAGAAACCACCCATGTATCTTCTGAGGCCAAGAGGATTGTGCAGGGCTTCCAGCAGTTCATCAGGTAAATGAAATAATTCATATATATCAGAATTAACTTCTCTTGCGATTTGTTTGGCTTAAAAGTAGTCTTTTTTTTTTAGCCTTGTAGTGTCCATTAGTTGACACATAAACATGTCAATTCACTTGTGTATTGGGATCTTAGATGCTGTAACGGGTCACTATTCCATTTGTTTTTTAATGGTCCTGAATTAATTAATTATTAAAGTAGAAATACACATTAGTGGGCTTTCGTTTAGGCAAGTATAAAGGAGGATCCTGTGCTGTAGTGAGTCCATCAGAAACCACCCATGTATCTTCTGAGGCCAAGAGGATTGTGCAGGGCTTCCAGCAGTTCATCAGGTAAATGAAATAATTCAGTTGTTAACTGTTGATTATGCCTAATGTGCATCCAAATCTAACCATATTTATGAAGTCAAGTGAAATTTTTTTTTTAATTCCAGTGGCAAAGTATTTGTCTGCATTACCCATCAGCCGTTGTATATGTATTTATTCAATGATTTTGTATTGATATTCTGAACAGGACAACTCCCTATGCAGTATACAGTCCAGAGACTTATGAGGGTCATTGGCGGCAGCTAACAGTCCGAACAAGCAGGATAAAGCAAACAATGGCCATTGTTTTCTTCAATCCACAGGTAAGAGATTTATTCAGTGGTTGCTTTTGTGTCCACTTTAGATGTTGGTTGTGGATCTATTGTTACTGCTGCATGAAATATTTACTTGTTTAAACAACCTAGAAACTCCAAGAAGAAGAAATTGAAGAACTGAAACGAAACCTGCGTCAGTATTTTACTGAAGGAGAAGGAAAAGAAAGTGCCATCACTTCGTTGTATTTTGTGAGAATGGGACAAAGGTAAGACCCCAAATTTAGATTTTAGATGACTTTACACATTCTTTTATTAATCTGCATCAACCCAGGACATCTGCGGGTACAGAGGACCTGCCATGTGAACACGTGACTGGAGAAGAATGGATTCACGAAGAGCTTCTCGGACTAAAATTCCGTATCTCTCCACACTCATTCTTTCAGGTGAACCTCCTGACAAATTAACTGTTATATAATTTCTTGAAAATTAATACTATGATGCTTGATAAAGCACCAGGCAGCTGATTCCTTTAAGCCATCGTGTATGTGATTCAGAATATTAGGTACAGGATAATAATACTGACCTTCAGTTTAAATGTCCTACGTTAGCGCTATTGAAATGTTTATAATATTATGATTTTTGTACTGCCAGACGAACACCCCTGCTGCTGAGGTTCTGTACTCTGCTGTGGGTGAATGGGCACAGCTGGACCAGGACAGCACTGTGCTGGATGTGTGCTGTGGAACAGGAACCATCGGCATCTCACTGGCAAAGGTGTGGCGTTTGCTTCTAAAAATAGGAGTATTGAACAGAGCAACAACAAAAACAATTGTGTGTGTTAACAGAGAGTGAAGAAGGTGATTGGCATAGAGTTGTGCCAGGAGGCAGTGGATGATGCGAAGGCTAACGCTGAAGCTAATGGTAGGCCAGAATGGCATTATCATTGCCTTGTTTTTCTCTCTCTTCATCTCCCATGATATACTCACACTTCAAATGTACATTTTCAGGGTTGACCAATGTGGAATTCCACTGTGGAAAGGCTGAAGATGTGCTCCCCACTGTTCTTAATGCTGTTGTGTCCCCCAACGTCACAGCAATCGTTGACCCTCCGAGAGCAGGGCTACGTACGTACAGTACTCCCGAACGTAACTTTTGACTTGTAGGCATGGTGTTTTGTTTTTAAGTTCTCTGCCCAAACATTCTCATTCTTACCAGATTCCAAAGTTATTCTAGCAATCAGAAGAGCAGAGCATCTGAAGAGACTCATCTACGTCGCCTGCAATGCCAAAGCAGCGATGAACAATTTTATTGAGTAAGTTCATTATTTTCGATAATGATAATAAATTACACATCAAATTCAGGATAGCAACATCCAAACTATTGTGAATTTATTGCATTTTGATGGGCATTACATATCAGAATGGCGGTGGTTTGAGTGAAAAGTTGAAATATGAGAGAAATGCGTGACATCAGCCAAAAGGGAAATCAGAGGCTTGTTATATTTTGATAAGATTATGAAGACAAACCTTTTTCCTGGCTCAAAAAAAAAAAACTAAACATGGCAAATTATTTCAGGTTGACTTTCTTCTGAAAATATAAAATATTCCCAATTAACTTTATTCTAAAACGTATATTTATGTCTTGAAGTCTCTGCAGAGCTGTTTCTAACCGTGTGCGAGGAGCCCCTTTCCGTCCAGTGAGAGCTATGGCTGTTGACCTCTTCCCCCAGACCATGCACTGTGAAACCATCCTGCTGCTTGAAAGAGTGGACTACAGCTCTGACACTCAGACCACAGAAACCTGAAGCTCTGTTATCTTCATCTATTATGCCAGCACGGCTGTTTCTCTTCCATTTAAACACTGAGTGAAATTCAAATGTTCACTTTTTCTTAAAAGTTCAACTGACTTAAAAGTGCTCAAACCATTACCACATTTTTGTACAGGTTTCTTTTTTCTCTTTTGTTTGCATTAAAACCAGCACAAGACATCAGTTTCTGGTCATCAATTTATTTGCATAAACAAGTCACTGTATCAGCGATCATGTCACATGAAAAGAACTTTTTTTTAGGCAGCTTTACTTGCAGCCAAATCATCCAACATTAACCCTTCAATGTTAGCGACTAAAAAGCACATTTCTTCACACAATTAATACACACTTGGCAAGACAAGTCGTACACTCCAGACGTGTATTGGGAAAACATTCTCTAAACACTCTTAGTATGGCAGCAGCCTTGTGCTCATGGAAAACAGGAAAGTGCCTTCACAAACGCAGTGAACATTCAGAAGCACACAAACTAAAATACTAAACTCAATGACAGTGCACTGCAGTTTTTTAGTCGCTGTCCCAAGAAAACCTGAAGGCCAGAATTCCCCCTCTCTTCTCCCATTATAGTTTGAGGGAAGTGGTGGTTTTCTTCGAACAGGGACCATATTTTAATCCAGCAGTTATTGCATTTTTTTTTTATATATTTTGTTCCATATATGTTTATATACATTTAATGAATGCAGCAATATTCTAAAAAAATGCATAAGACTTAAAGCTTTGGTTCACACTGTTCTTCAAGCTATTGAACATAACGACATGGTCTGATTTTCTTTGAGGTATGGAGTTACCACCTTTGTTTTTAGGTAGACTGCCTTATGAAATTATGAATAAAGTTCAAACTATTAGTATTTAATACACCACTGTGATAACATCTGAACAAAATGTGCACACAATCACCCACCGCAGCAAATGACCACAAAACCATACCGAAAAATTTAAGAAACACACAAAAAAAAAGCACATGCGTAGAAGGCATTTTTTTCCCTAAAATATCAATGCAAGAAAGCAAGCATCACGCCACAGCAAATACATAACGTATAGCATCTTAAATGCAGACTTGAGTGAGGCGTTTCCCTTTTGAAACAAGGTGCCATCAATAAAAGAGTTAAAACTAAGGCAACATATACCATTTTTTTCCTACTGAAGATTGCCAACCAACCTCTAATGCAAGTTAGATTATATCAGAGCATAACGAAATGTAAAAATACCAACAAAAAAAAACATAGCTCAAGTAGCGCGCACTGGCATCCTATCTCCCTGATGTCTTGGACCTCTACTAACTACAGTACCTCAAACACTTGTGCTTGCGTTTTCTCTGCAGTGCTTTCTGAACAAGTAGAGCAACTGGTCAAGGTAACCATTGGCACACATCACTCCTTAATTAAAACAAAAACACAAAGGTTGTTCATTCCACTCAAGCAAGTAAGTGCATTTCTTAACAGCAGTTGGAAGTGTGCACATGAAATGCTTTAGAAATACAACATTTAAATGCTTCACATGCCAATAAGAACTAGACATGGCCACTGAAGAAAACCAACACACTTTAAGCCATTATAAACCCTATTTTCCAGATAAAAGATCACGTGCACTGAATGAAACACTCTGCATGCCACAAAAGCAGACATAAAGGAACAAATCCCTGTAAAATGACAGGTGTATCTGTTCAAACGCATCAGTTATGAGTACCGAGATACAGTGTCTCTGAAATCTGTGGTTCCACAGTAAATATGAAATGAATTTGCCGTTTAAGAAGGGAAAAAGCAACATTTTATTAACATCTAAAAGCCACAAACCGTATCTGTTCAAACGCATCAGTTATGAGTACCGAGATAGTGTCTCTGAAATCTGTGGTTCCACAGTAAATATGAAATGAATTTGCCGTTTAAGAAGGGAAAAAGCAACATTTTATTAACATCTAAAAGCCACAAACTTAAAAGCATCTGTAATACTTCACATACATCATTTGTATGATTCTCCTTAATATAGGCATATTATTGTCAACAGCCGTCATTATATTTGTGCACGTTCAGGTGCAGAAGTGCACCTGGAGGTATTTAATGCTCATTCTACCTTCCCTTAGTGCATGTATATGACTGTTACCTAACCCATACTTTATGGGCAATAACTGGATTGGGAACAGAGCTCATTAATCTGATAAAAATGTAACTAGTATTGCCATTTTGCACTGCAAAGTAATGCATAAGTCAGTAATGGTACGATGATGACCTTTTGTTATAGAACCATTACCATTGGTCAGTGCTATCTGCTATCACAAAATGCTGGACAAAGGGTTTGCTAGACGTCAACAGTACACAGAGGTTCACTGCCAGGTTGAGCAGACTCCATTATAGTCATCTTCGGCTTCTTTCTTGCCTCCTCCTGAAAAAACAGTAAGACACAAATGAGTGAACACTAGAAAGCTTTTTAGCTATCAATTTACGGAATTTATTATGGTCAGCTGGATGTTTTTAATCTTTAGCAAACTCCATTTATCTGAAGTGCAAGATGTGTCTGAAAGAGGTCATATTTGCAGCTGTACCCTTTCTTGAGCCAGCTTCATCATCTCTTCTCTTAGTTTGTTGAGGATGTGAAGATTTGGCTTGTTCTTTTTGGCATACTGCTGAAGCTCAATCACGCTCTTATCAGAGTTCTCCTGAAGACGACAAGAATCCAACATTAACTTCTCAATCACACAAACAAAAAGAAACAGTCCTCTCACGTTTAATATCTTAAAGGGGTCCTATTATGCTCTTTTACAAAGTCTTGATTTTGTTTTGGGGGTGCACTAGAACAGGCTCTCATACTAGGTTGTTCGAAAAACATTATTTTTCACATATTTTACATTATTACAACACCTCTCTCCCCAGTCTAGCATGAACGGCTCGAATAGTTCCTGTATCAAATGAAGGCCCGCCTTCTGAAATACAAAATGTGCTGTGATTGGTTAGCTCGGACAGTGTGTGTTGTGATTGGCAGCACTCTGCGCCTGGCCAGGAAATGCGCATAGCCGCCTGCGAGCTTCAGTGTAAATATTGTGTCAAAATCAAATCAATTTGAGCGCGATTTAAACCCGGATGATTGCAAGCACTCGAAGTTCGTCTGCCTTGGGAAAGCTAGCATGTCTCTGACATGGTGATAACACTCGTTACCTTCTCTAGTGCAGCTCAGCCAGGTCTCGTCCCATTCGACGATCTTTGTGATATCACAAATCCCCGAAAATATGCTTTGTAGTCCAAACGAGTCATTCGTTGTAGTCTTTGAAAAGTGATTTTTGTTAAATAAAATACCTCCTTTTGAAGTGGACTTTGAGCTTTGTAACTTTGCAGATCTTTTTTATGCTCAAACAGCAACATTACTAACTAACTAAAGTTGAAAAAATTAAAAAGCATAATAGGACCCCTTTAAAATGCAGATTATGTTTCGACAAAAGACAGTGCCGACCTTCTTAACCATCTTGTTGCTTTCTCTGCCGTACATGCGCAGCAGTGAGCCCCAGTTCTTCACGTGAGGATGAAGCATCTGAAGAATCTTCTGTGATGCCAGCTGCTTTCCAACCCTCTTATTTTTACCTGCAGTCAACAAGAGCAGTATTAGGTATGTGGCTTGAGATTAACCTGCAGAGTGGACCAACATTTAGAATTTCTGAAGTATGCCATTGTGAAATGCTCTGAATGAAACCTCTTAAGCATGGATACTCACACCAGCCGCGTACAGTGTGCTTCCCACATGTCATGACATATTCACTCTTTTGGTTCTTTCCTGGAATCACCTCAAACTTGATGCTGGTGTCACCCATGCCATGGTTTCTATAGAACAGACGACAGCAGATCTTCAGCTGCTTTCCAATCAGACATGACATTTCAAGGACCCACGGTTATATTAACATGCTTTTCCTGTAATACAGAGTGACAGACTCTCTATCACAACATACCTCTTAAGGCACTCATGAAGGATCTGATATGGTGAGAGTAAACCTGCTTTGTTGGTCAGCTCATACACCCTTGAATCTTCAATATTGATATGATTAAAATACTGTGGGATTGGAGAAGGAAATAAACATCCATAAGTACAATAAAGAACAAAACTCTGAACAAAGATAAAAATCAGTCATTTCACTCAGAAAGAAGAGCAGTACCTCCAGTTCATCTCCTTCTATAGGCTTCTCCTCAGACGTCTGCTTCACAAAGTCAGGAATAAGGATCTCCAGTGTTGCTCGAGCTGTCAGAAAGAGAATGACAATATAAATACTTAGGTTCCCTAATAAAACGTTTACAGCAGTCTATTCATGAAACATTAAGGACTCGGATGAAGATGGGGGGGAAAAGATACCAGCTTTATTCTTGGCGAGTTTTTTACTACTTGCTGTTCCTGTGCCATATGTAACACCGTCTATAATGACTGAGGCTCCGAAGGGTTCACTTGGGTTTTCTAGGCAAACAAAACAATATTACATGTGAAAAAAAAAAGGAGGACACCAAACACACACGTAAAGTAAAATCGTTATGCCACAACAGGCAATGTATTAATACGATTTTATCATGGTTAGAGAGAGTTGTTAGTTACGTCAAGCCCAAAATGTCGGCATGGCCTTAAGTGGTTTATTGCTTTCACAACAGCATAAAAACACATTTTAAGTACATCGATTAAAAAAAAAAAACATTAGCTCATTAGCACAACTGTAAATGATACCGCAGATATGCAGACTCAGTACACAAATAACTCAATATGTTTATTAGTGGCTATTTGATGGGGGGGGGGAAAGATACCAGCTTTATTCTTGGCGAGTTTTTTACTACTTGCTGTTCCTGTGCCATATGTAACACCGTCTATAATGACTGAGGCTCCGAAGGGTTCACTTGGGTTTTCTAGGCAAACAAAACAATATTACATGTGAAAAAAAAAAGGAGGACACCAAACACACACGTAAAGTAAAATCGTTATGCCACAACAGGCAATGTATTAATACGATTTTATCATGGTTAGAGAGAGTTGTTAGTTACGTCAAGCCCAAAATGTCGGCATGGCCTTAAGTGGTTTATTGCTTTCACAACAGCATAACAACACATTTTAAGTACATCGATTAAAAAAAAAAAACATTAGCTCATTAGCACAACTGTAAATGATACCGCAGATATGCAGACTCAGTACACAAATAACTCAATATGTTTATTAGTGGCTATTTTTTCACAGCTTCAAACAGCTTCTCAATTACAATTTTAGTCTTATGCATTATGCTACTTACCACATTCAAAAAAGTTGTAAACTGGTCGCACTTTGAGCACTCTTTGCATATACTCGTGCAAAATGCACACTTCTGACTTCCCGTTGGGGTTGATGACAAACTCTGAAATATAAACATGGTCAGTCTTGTTAAAACACCACGTGTTTTGTACTGCTCAATTCACCAATGCAATGACTCATAGAGACAAGTACCTTTCTTTGTGGGGGCGTCTTGTACAGACAGTGTGATGAGCTTCTGATTGGCTGGTAGGATGGGCCTCTCAGACTCGGCCTGCTTTCTCTTCATGTCCCTGTTGAACTGTCTGCGCTCAGCCCATGTGCGAAACTTCTTAACCGTCACTTGCTCAAAATCAAAGCACTTCTCTAGGTAGCTTCTAAACTCCTCAATATCTGGGATACAAGTCACGAGAAGAGAGTTTACAAACCATGTGGATTTTAAAGTGATGCACAGGAGAGCGTGAAACCTCATCCTCTTACCAACAGACTCATCCTTGCACACCTCCACCTTGGCTCTGACCTGGCCCAGCGCTCCCTGTGCAATATCATTGGCTTGGCTCTCCTTCCCCTCTGAAGATCCTCCTGGCTCCATGAGGCCAAGATCTGGATCTTCTGATGCTGGTCTGCCGGTCGGCTCTTCTGTGGCAGTAGAGTCCGGTTCGTCGACTCTCTCCAATGGGATGCCCTCCTCACCAGATTTCACTGGAGACACCTCTGCAGTCGGAGTCACCTCTCCATTTTGTTCCCTTTCTTCTAGTTCCTTAATTTTCTTATAATGCAAGCAGGGAATGCTACTGGTTGGTGGGTCATGTTTCTGGGGGGGAAATGAGTAGAATACAGGGATGAGGTGCATGAGAATGCAAAGCACTCAATTTGAAAACCGAATTATCTTAGGGGAGCCAAACCATTTACCCTAATGCTTCCTGTTCCAAGGAAGTAAGGTCTAGACCAGGTGACAACTCTGGTTTCCCGGTGGAGGTAGACTGGAATGCCAGAGTTATGGAATGTCATGATCCACCCATCGGGTAATGGCTCAGTTGGTGGACGCCCACGACCTTAAAAATAAATAAAAACTAGTCAGATCAATAACAGCAACAACAACCAAAAAAACTAGTCACCTAGAATCCCATGTAGGTTTTTATCTGGTTTGAATCAGTGTTATTGTTAACAAAAATTAAAATGAAAACATGTTTAAATAAATAAATAAATAGTATAAAGGGAAAACCTAAAAAAACATTAACGGAACCAACATAAAATCAAAAACAAACAAAGAAAAATGCCCACAAATGACTTTGTCTGATTCTGAATATGCACTATTCAAAAGTCTGCTCAAAAGTCAGAAATGATCACATTCATCAAGGATGCATTAAACTGATCAAAAATGACAGTTAAGACTTTCACATTGTTACGAAAGTGTTGTTTCAAATAAATGCTGGACTTTTGAACTTTCTATTCAATAACACATCCTGGGAAACGTATCATTTTCCACAAAAATATGAAGCAAGTGTTCAACACTGACGATAACTTTTTCCTGAGCACCAAATCAGTATATTAGAATGATTCATTTTTAAATAACTAGAATTTTAATTTAAAAGTGTTGTTTCAAATAAATGCTGGACTTTTGAACTTTCTATTCAATAACACATCCTGGGAAACGTGTCATTTTCCACAAAAATATGAAGCAAGTGTTCAACACTGACGATAACTTTTTCCTGAGCACCAAATCAGTATATTAGAATGATTCATTTTTAAATAACTAGAATTTTAATTTAAAATTTTATAAAAAAATAAAATAAAAAGTTACATATATGATAATAAAGTTGAATTACTGAAGTAATTAAACACAGCCTTGGTGCGTATAAACAAACACCAATTTTACAGACTTTAATACAGTTTGTGTATTTGTGTTTCACATTTGATATATTTTACAAAATTTGTTAAAGGGGTCCTATTATGCTCTTTTACAAAGTCTTGATTTTGTTTTGGGGGTGCAATAGAACAGGCTCTCATACTAGGTTGTTCGAAAAACACATTATTTTTCACATATTTTACATTATTACAACACCTCTCTCCCCAGTCTAGCATGAACGGCTCGAATAGCTCCTGTATCAAATGAAGGCCCGCCTTCTGAAATACAAAATGTGCTGTGATTGGTTACCTGGGACAGTGCGTGTTGTGATTGGCAGCACTCTGCCCCTGGTTGGGAAACATCATGCCCTTTACCATAGCCGCCTGCGAGCTTCAGTGTAAATAGTGTCAAAATCAAATCAATTTGAGCGCGCTTTAAACCCGGATGATTGTAAGCACTCTAAGTTCGTCTGTCTTGGGAAAGCCTGTGAATAGAATCAGAGATTAACAGAATCTGACAAGTGTAACTGGTTACCGAAATCTGTTGCCCCTCTGTATTTCACACTGAAAGCGTGTGTGGCTTACGTTAAGGTTACCCAGATTAACTCTGGTGATGTCAACTGTATATGAGTTGTATCAGTATCAGATTTAGTAGTTTTAAAGGGGTCATATGATGCTTTTTTAAAGATCATTATTTGGTGTAACAGAATATGTTGACATGCTTTAATGTTCAAAAAACACATTATTTTTCAAATACTGTACATTATTGTAGCATTTAACTGGTTTTCTAAATGACTTCATTTTTGTAAGAACCATGCCTTCAGCAAACTAAACTGGGACATGTGAAATAATAATGAATGCCCTTAGAAATAAAGTTCAATCGATCTACATTTGGCTCGATTGAAACGTTTAGAGCAGTTAACATGTCAACAAGTCATAACGTAAAAGAATCACTGAATCGAAAGAACCGATTCGCCGAAACGAGTCGAACCTGCTGTCACCAGGGTCCGCGAATGAGCCGATAGGGGGCAGTAGTCGCTCTCTTGCTCCAGGAACAGCAGCCGCTAAAGAAGAGCGCCCGCAACGTCGTTTGATGACGTTTCACGAGTAACGTCAGAGGAAGTTATTCCAGTAAATTCGCGTTAACTAACAAGTTAAAATCATAGAAGCTTTATCCACTCGACGTTAAAAACAGAGCAGTTTTTTTAATCAAAGCGTCAACCATTTCCCACCAGCACGATGATGATGGACGAGGACCAGCCCAGGACATTGTAAGTGCTGCTGTAGTTTAGTCGGCCACTTTACGAAGCCAAGCTCGTGTTTAAACACGTTTAGTAAAGCGGCGCAGCACGCCGAACGAAGATAATCAACTCAAGGGTATAACTCCGTTAATTACTCTTTGTGTTATATATATATATGAAGTGTGATATGGTGTATATACGACAGCACAAGCCGGCTAGACAAACAACAAACTGGGGCAGCGGAACCGAGCCTAGCAGAGCTAGCGGTGAAGAATCCACTGTTTCCCTCAACCTTATTTTAATTTATCCGGTTATGTCCAAATGGATGAACTAATCTGTCCACATTACGGCGCAGAAGAGGCTTTTGCCAGCACACAGGTTCCGTTTGTAGCGCTAGGTTTCCGTTACCGAATTAGCTAACTACTAAAAAAGCGCTTAAATGTTATTATATCCCCCCACATGGCCCTTTTCACTCTTTCCTCTAGTGTAAAATCGTGAATCAGACGGACAGTCTGTTTACTATGCGTGGTTTCTCTTATAAATGGAGCTTTTGGATCATGTTAGCTGTTGGCTCTCGTGCGCTGAAAACGTGGCAGAAATGAAACCTCGCGGAATGTGCTGCTAGCGTGAGAGGAGGAAAAACGCGACGCATTGACCGTGTTTCTCATTTTGCTGTGCTCTTCTGTTTTTAGGTATGTCGGGAACCTCTCCAGGGACGTTACGGAGGCCCTCATCCTGCAAGTGTTCTCCCAGATCGGCCCCTGCAAGAGCTGTAAAATGATATTTGATGTGAGTTGAAAAACATCTGAAATCCAGGGAAAACCGAGAAATAGTTATTTTTTTCAGGCCTGGAGAAGTCATAGAAGTTGGTAGAACCTCAAACGTCATGGAAATGTCTGTAGTTAATACACATTTCTAGCTGTTATTGCTTTTGTGTAGAATACGACTTCCTTGCAAGTGGGAATGGGCAGTTTGAGTAAATTGTCATTAAGTTGATTATTTTTGATCTGTTAACAAAATGGTCCAAACTGATTATTTTAAAAAATTGTCTACTACTAACTGATGACTTTTAAAAGATCATGGAAAAATTCATTGATCAAAAAATCTGAGACACCTGTAACTTACCAAGATCAGTGGTTGACCCAGATCATTTTGTGTTTTTCAGACGGCTGGAAATGACCCGTACTGCTTTGTGGAGTTCTTTGAGAACAGACATGCTGCTGCAGCTTTGGCTGCCATGAACGGCAGGAAGATCTTAGGAAAGGTAAAATATTGCAAACACGCCCTCAAAAGTAGATTGCATATGGTTTGAAATGAAGTTACACCCCTTAAATGTCTTGTCAGAGCTATAATCTAAGATGACACACTGAATATCTTTAGTTGGCACATTTCTAGTGTGTTTACAGGTAAGTTGCTTTTAACCTGTGCATCAAATCTTTCAAGTCCCTTCATCTCATCAACTATTTACAACATACAAGTCAAACTATATTGCCCAAGGATTTACTTAATTTATGGCGTTTAAAGGCTTTAAAAATATATATATATATATAAAACATTGTTTTATCTTTGTGGCATATTGCCGCTTTTACAAATGGAAAAAAATGTACGCAGCCACAATATGACAATGCACAGTGAACAAGTCAGAAATAGACGTGTTCATTGCACATTTTCATACTGTTAGCTTATGGCTTTAACATGGTCCTATTTAAATATAGCTGAGAATACTACAGTTGTTTGAATCGTAATCAAATAAGCTAAATATTTATCCAGAAAGTCCTTTCAACACACCAGAATCCTTTACTGGTCCATTGGAGTGCCTAATTACTTTGTTATATTTCAAACTCCACAAAGCATATGAGCATTTTTGTTTAAGTCATCTTTTGGGTACAGGCTGACCATTTTTATTTTTGACCCCCCATTTGCGTCAACATCTAGCCTTGCTTTATCATAGTCTACACCTGCACCAGGCCTTCAAAGTTAGCAAAGCCTTGGAAAAAAATATATTCAGTGCAAATATTTTATCCTCAACGGGTATTGAAGGACCATTTGAGGAGTAATACAAGTTGATAATGTCACTTCTTTGTAAGTCTGCTATTTAGACTCTTATCCTATGTAGAAAATAATTCCAGAGTTTTTTTTTAATTGTTCCCTTAAAAGATGATTTATGCTGCTGCTTGTCTCTGCTCTGCTTTCTCTCTTAGGATATGAAGGTTAACTGGGCCTCAATGCCAGGCAGTCAAAAGAAAGACACAAGCAGTAAGTGTCCTCTTCAGTGATGCATGTGGTGTTATATTGGCGTATATAAGAGCCTGTGTGGTTAAACTGTTAAGCATGAATAGTTTTTCTCTTTTGCTTCATAGTTTATGAAATATCTAACTCTTTCCCCTCAAACCATTATTGTAGATCATTTCCACGTCTTTGTCGGTGACCTGAGCCCAGAAATCTCAACTGATGATGTCAGAGCAGCCTTTGCTCCGTTTGGAAAGATATCGTAAGTGGATTATTGTGTAATTCAAGTGCTATTTAAACCTCATCTGAGCCGGATTGTCTAAACATTCGGATTCTTACTGATTTCATGTGTTCGGTGCAGTGACGCCCGTGTGGTGAAGGATCTGGCCACAGGCAAATCTAAAGGATACGGTTTCATCTCCTTTATTAATAAATGGGTAAGATTTTGCATGTTATTTGTTGTTAAGTAATAGTTATACTCTGCAGCAGGATAACATGAATGTAACTTTTTGTGTCTTTATGGCTTTTTTGTTATTGATCAGTTTGATTGGTTTTGTTGCCACTGATAGGATGCAGAAAATGCCATTCAGCAAATGAATGGCCAGTGGCTGGGAGGCAGACAGATCAGAACAAACTGGGCCACAAGGAAGCCATCAGCTCCTAAACCAAACAATGAAGGTAAGTCCGTTTACACAATAGAATTTGACAGTTTCTTTGGTCTCTCATTTCTTGTCTTTTATGTAGCCATGTGTTTTATTATGTGAGCCACCTACTATGGAACTGGGTATTTTTTTCTTTTTATTC